TAAATACGCATTTATACTTGGGGGGTCAAAGCTGTACACTTTACCATTTAGTTTTTTTAAAGCAGCTTCGTGAGATTCAAACGAAAGAATTTAAATTTAATGGGCTGAGACGCAAGAGTCAGACATGATTTGAAGGATGTGTTTTGTCTCTCACGGATGTCGTTTTAGCTTTCTTTTATTATTAATTTGTTTTTATTCTGGTCTAGAGAAGTAGACAATCGAGCAGTCACAATTAACAAAGTAACAAAATCAGTTATAGTAACCAGTCAGTATGATGTTTGTTTGTTCTCCGGAGATGAGAGAGACAAAGTCGTGCGGGTATTATATAAATGGGTTCTGAGGGTTAGTGAAGGGAGCTCATATAGATCGAAGAGCAAATAGAGAATAACGGAAAGGAGGCTATTATTGCGTCTCCTTTTGCTATTTATTCATCCGCGTTCAAGCTAGTGCCGGTAAAGATCTAATGATTTATTAGCCCAAGTCTCTAAAAAACAGAAAAAGCTTTTTACTCAATGTTTCATGAGTGATCATAATTCTCTTTTTAGTTTGTCTATATAGCTTTGTAATTTGTGAGCTTTCCATTGTTTCTCATGAGTTCTTTGTGTTTCTGTCCATTTTCTTTCCATTTGTATCAGAAGTCTCGGAAAACCCAATCAGGTTGTCACCACCGTCCTCGAACGTAACGTGTTTACCAGCACCCACAGTCACAAACAGTGCTCCCTCCAGCTCGACCAGTGTTTTCGCCAGCATATTTGCATCCTCAAATCCTGCTCCTTCTCAGACATCTTCATCGTATTCCAGTATGATGTCAAGCATGGCTCGCTCGGATTGCCCGACTACTACCCCAACGCTGTCTGCAATAGAGCCCACATCTCTGTCTCTCTCCACTTCGCTTTATCTCTCCAATAATGACTCATCCTTGTTCCCGGACCAACACGACCCTCGCCACTATACTGCACCTCCTCAGCCTGCACTGTCCGCCACCGCATTACTCCAAAAGGCAGCTCAAATGGGTGCCGCTGCGTCCAATGCATCTTTGCTTCGAGGTTTAGGATTAGCAACAGCAACTTCCTTGGCACAAAACGATGGTACCTCGACGCAATGGAATAGCCGTGTAAAGACAGAGAATCACTCATTAACTGATGATGGCCTGGTCCTTGGAATTCCTTCTGCTGGCAATACGGGTTTTGCCGACTTGATGATGGGCTCGTCGTCGTCGCCGTTCGGGGGACAGCCGATGACTCGAGATCTTCTTGGTCTAAGCATAGGTGGTGCTGGTGGCGGGGCCAGCAGCAGGGGCGGTCTTTCTGCCTTGCTTACCTCTTTTGGTGGTAGATTTGATGTTGCAGATTCGTCGACGGGAGGGAGGAATGCTTCGGCTGAAGACTAGGAGGATGGTTTTTTTCCTCTCATTCTCGTTTACTAGCCAGTCATAAAGGGGTTGGGTTATGTTACAGGCAGGAGGCACTCTACAAATGGTGCTTTTTTGTTTTTATATAGTTTTTCCTTTTGTCTTTTGTATTCGTGTAGCCGCCCTTTATCTGTAAGGAAGATCAAGGATCAATGAAAACTGTAGAAGGTGAGATTAATATTATGACTAGGGGATGTACAGAAACTCGTATAATTGGTGCTATTGGCGAAATCTGCTGCATTGTAGCAAACCCTTTCTTGGCCATACGGTAGGAAGCTTTTGTGCAGCGGGATTATTGCAGTTACTCCCTCCGTTTCTTATTATAAGAAACATTTGATGCTTATAGTATATTTCTATACATAAGAAACATTTAAAAGTTGTTTATATATTTTTGTGTTTATTTTCTACTTTACTCATATTTATTTTTTCTCTAACTCTCACTCTTTCTCTCTCTCACTTCTTTTTCTTTTAATAATTTAATTGTTCTCTCTCATGCTTTCTCTCTTTATTAATGAGGGTATTTTTCGGGAAAAAATTATACTTTTTATACATTGATTGTTCTTAACTAGTTTTAACTGTTTTTTTATCAACGTAATTTAGTTATTCGTTCTTATAATAAGGAACAGAGAGAGTATTATTTACGCGCGTGTGTATACATGCGCGCACCAACAGTGTTAATTTTTATTGAGAACAAAGAGAGGTGAGATTAATTTGTAAATATAGTGCCTGTTTGGCATCACTTATTTTAAGCTTATAAGTAGCTTATAAGCTCTATAAGCTGGATTGACAAAATTGGATCTGTTTGGATCAGCTTTTCTGCAATCGGGCTTTTGTCTAAAAAGCTACAATAAGCTATAAGCTAAAATTAACAGCTTATGATTTATAGCTTATGGCTTATAGCTTTTGAAATATGGAGAGAGAAAAAGTTAAGAAATTTATTACCTCTTTTGGTTCTTATTATAAGCCTTAAATAACTAATTTGTAGATAATAAAAAATCAGTTAAAATTAGTTGAAAGTAATGAATAAGTTATAAATATATTTTTATTTTTAAATATGCTCCTAAAAATATACTTTTATTTTTTCATGTTTCACTTTATATTTAAAATATTTTTTATGACTTCTTCATATTAAATTATTTTAATTTCATTGTATTATGTGAAATTATTTTTTTAATTATGTTTCATTATTTATTAAAACTCATATCTATTTTGGTCATTTTACAACCAAACTTACTTTTACTTAATCATAATTCAAACAACCTTTTACCAATTTCACTTTTGCAATCTAGCTTTTCTGAACTATAATCCAAACACAATTCAGCTTATTCAATTTAGCTTTTATCCAATTTCACTTCTCTATAAGCTACTTTTTCAATCGCTGATCCAAACGGACCCATAGAGATAGAAGGAAAAGTTTCGGTAAGAAAAAATATCAAAATTTTTTTTATCAATTTAATATGTTTTTTATATGAAAATAATTTACAAGGTAACTTATACAATAAGTATGGTATATATTCAAACATCTCCAATACTACATAGATCGAAATAAATGACAAGCGTGGAATTGCATTCCCTGTCGGTGCATTGAATGAGACGAAGGGTACAAGAATAGGAAGATGGTCCTTGTTGACGGTAGTCAAATGTGCAGAAGTCGTAGTATTTTGGAGTGACCTTGTTATGTGGGTCCAGCTTGCATCCGTTAGATCAGACCACCAAACACGTAAATTTAATGTAATTAATGAGGGGGCAGGTACGCCTCTCTCATTGTTTTCACTGCCTGATTGATATTGCTATTGTAAGCTTTGCTCGACGGTCTCCATACCGAGGGTCAAAATTTCCACATGCGGCTGATAAATCAAACGCTTGTGTGCTCTTTGGGCTTTGATTGACAAAATAAATCAAAACTAAAACACAAACAAACTGCGATAATAATAAAAGTCTTGGATCGGGTCCACAATGCCGAATGGGGAGGCCTGAATTGGGCTGCAAGAAGCTGGACCCAATAAATCGTAGGAGGCAGTCTCAGGAAAAAAGACATTGCGGTATTTTTTGGTCAACAAAGCTACAGCTCTTAACCCGCGGGAGTTAAATCGAGCGGAAGTCTATCATTCCTTAGATAAATGCTACTTCTGCTGTCGTTTTTTTTTTTAATAAACAACAACTATTTCTACTTGTTGTTTCTAAATATAAGTAATATGTGTAAGTTTTTTTAAATTTTTATAACAAATTTCTTATTTGCCCCCATTAATTACTATTTTAATGCCTAGTATATTTATTATCTCATTTTTTAAATTATTATCTCTCTCCATTTACATTCACTCTCAGTCATAATTCTCTTTAATAATTTTCTTACTCTCTTTTTTTTTATAAACATTTTCTTACTCTCTTTCCTATACTTGTTCTTTCATAAATAAAAATATTTTGGAGAAGAGATTTAAAATTCTACTTATTTCTTGTTTTTAACTAATTTTTTGATCTACATAATAGAATTCAAGACTCTTATAAAAAAGGGACGGAGAGATTAATATCTAACCCACTAGCGGTTGATTGACGTGATGAGTGGCTTCATTCTTGTACCTTTATATTAAGATAAAATTTAAAAAAAAATGGAAAAAAAAAGATGAAATGGTAAGTGGCTTCATGTTTACAGAGAGAAGAACACAAGATTAAATTCAAAAGACACAAATGTTAGAATATGCGAAAATCATTTGTGCTCTAAGCTATTTAATCCATAGCCGCCAAGACCACGTCCGCCCATCATCGCCACGACCATGCGGCTGAGGCCCCCTCCTTGTCCGAAGCCATCTTGCTCCCTCCCCGCCTTGCAATTTTCTTCCATAACAGTGCTATCCGTTGTGGTGCCAGAGAAGTGATTCCGTGAGCTGTGAATAAATTATGAACCATGAAGTTATGAACGAAAATTCTTATAAAAAGGATGTATAGAGCAAATTGATTTCATATCATAATGTATATTTTAGGGTTGTGCTGAAAAATGTGTTAACTTGTGTATGAAACCATAGTAAATAAAATTCAAAACATTTGAAAAACGATGCGTGTCAAATTGCCCAAGGTTATTTTAATTTATTTATATGATTCGACAAAGTATGCCAGTTAATCATTTATAATTCTGATGTAGAAAATTTATCGTCATTCGCTAATTTGGATTTATTGTACACAAATATAAAATGTTATAAAGAAACGGTTAATATAACAAAGCATAAAATTGATTTTTATATGGGAGAATCCCAAAATAAAATAAAATTACTAAATCTCAAATAATAAATTCCTATAAAAATATCTTGTTATTTGTAAGTTCAGTGCTATCAAAATTTATTATAGCGTTGGAGTCAAATTTGATTTGGGATTAATAATTTCAATAGAGTCTCCATTTTTCTTATATTTAAAATCACGACAAAACTCTTGAGTATTTTTGTGGGTGCTTAAATGAAGATATCCAATTTATTTAATATTATTCCTTTGTTCAGGACCGAGACAGGGCATTCAATTAGCATCACAAGTATTTGGCGTGACAGTTAATGAGCAAATGAACACCATTTAGTACTGGCAAGGCGCGCATCAGAGTCACTAGCATGAATTGGAATTTTCCTCGTCATCTTATCCGGAGTCTGCCAGATTTTGTGGCTTCACAATTCGAAATCTCTTCCCCCCACTTAAGTTCGCCCCCACCCTTTTCTGCCCGCTTCGCTGCCTTCCTTGTCTGACCTTCCGCTTCGAAACTTGCTGATCCCAATTCCTACATTCCCTGCCAACTTCAAATAGCTCCGCGAGGATTCGTCAACCACTTGTTCTACTGGGAACTGCCGTTTGCTGGTGGAAAGATGGAGAGATTTTCTCAAAGCGAGAGCATCCTCTTGGGCTACAATCATCAAAGGCCGTCCACGAATCCGAGCACGCCGCTCCGAAACTCGGACGTTGATTTCCACGATGTGTTCGGGGGCCCGCCGAGGCGGTCGTCAATTCAGGAGATGCCTTACGGTATCGGCGAATCGCCGGATTTCAGCGCATCGCGAATGGAGGAGGATGGTGTTTGTTGCGCCTGGCCTTGTGTTGGCGAGAAACCTGTGTTTGGGGAAGATAATTTGAATAGAAGGCGGCACACAAACGATAACTTCTACGACGATATATTTGGAGGAGATGAGTCTCCGTGTCGCACTCCTGTGAAGCATGAACGACACCCTTTCTCTTCGACGCCAGCTTCCAGAATTTTGAGCCCTGCCCCTCCTCTACCTCCCGCACCTGCTTCACCTGCTCCTCCTCCTCTCCCTCCAACATTGAGGTTTTCCCTCTGCTCACCATTTCTTAATCTTATTCCCTTCTTTCTTAAAAATTGCAATTTCCGTTAGCATCAGTCAAATTCATATATTTTGTACTGCAAACTAAATACCATGAAACTTTTCTCTTCCCAACTCCATCTTCTCACACTATGAAAAAAAATTCTGAGCATTGTCATGATCATTTATCTTTCGGTTGCAATTGTTAGAAATATCAATAAATTTTAATATTAGAGATAAGGGTTTCAATGAAATATTTTACTAATGGACATAAATGGAAGATAATTTTTTTAATTATTTCATCTTATTTTTTGTTTTTACAAGATTAAATGATAATAATTGAAATAAAATTTATTTATGTAGTGTTCATTATAATAAAACTATTTCTTTAGTTTTAAATATAAAATCTATTTATAATACAATTTATTATCATATTATAAAATAGATGTTACGTCTAGAATTGAAAAAATATTAAATAAGAGAAAAAGTTTTTCCGGTTGTTACTTATTAATCTTTGGGAAAAAGGAAATAAAGCTGCCTACTGGACATCAAGGCCCACTTAGTTTATGGACCAGTCTCACTTAGTTTATAGCCCGCAGAAGAGCGGCCCACCGGAGGTCTTCCATTCCCGCCCAAGAATAACGTCGAAGACCAAAATTCCGCATCTATGGCTAATGTTCCCTGTGGCCCTTCAAGTTTTTTGTCGTTCTGATTTGTTACGTCTCACTGCACTAACAACACGTTCATTCTTCAACTTCCTCAGCCTTCCCGCCAAATTGACAAAAGGGACGGACCTTCCGACGTTTGGTTCCCCTACTAGAAGCCTACGCACGAGTGCCGCTTTAAATGGCTTGAGCTCTTCAGATTCTCCAGCCACTCATCTATCAAGATTTTCAAGCCACGCTACTCAAGGTAAGGAGGAGTTAAACAACGGTTCGGGAACCCTACGGCCAAGTCGCTCATCACACGAGATTTCAGACTTGAGCGTATCTGACAAAGCAGACAAAGGAGGCGATAGTGCAGGTCAGTTTCATTTCTCAATATATAAATGGGCAAGTAAAGGGGCGGTGCCACTATTGATGCCTCTCAGGACAGAAAGAAACTCAAGAACAAAAGAAAATGTTAAACTTGAGAGATGCACAAGCGCTAAGGATTGGATAGCAAGAGAAAGTACCTCACAGAGTGATGGTTCTTTAGCAAATACCAGCTCCTCTTCGTTGAAAAGCAGACAACATTGTTCAGCTACTTTCGTAACCTCTCAAAATGTGACAGATTCGCTAGACGAAAGAGGTTCTGCGAAACCTAATTTGACATCCTTAAGCACACTTCAAAATGTTACAAAAGATGTTTCCGGTAGTTCTTTATCATCTGACGCTAAAGCAGAATCAAGTATCAACTCTGTAAGTGAGAAAGAAGTTTCTGGAAAAATGAAAGAGGAGTTAGTTCAGACAATTAAAACTCACAAGGCTGAGTCAAAATCGTCACATTCTCTATTCAGCAAGAGTGATGGCACGCAAGGTAAAATCCAATTACACCTCTCACTATATGTGGATATTACCAGTCTCCCATTCCTGAAACCCCCTGAATTTTTTTGTCAGATTATCTTGAGAAGATTAAAATGGAGAAGGGAAAAGAAAGCAAAACTATGAAGCCATCTGCTCTTTGCGACATTAGTACTAATTGGAAGAAACAGGTAAAAAAGACAGTCGACTTGAAGGATGTAGAAGCAGCTAAAGCTGCGTTGCAAAGTTCGTTAAGATTGGATGAGAATATGGAGAATGTCAAGGTGAAAGGGAAAGTCAAAGAATTTGTTCGAATATTCAACCAAGAAGCTTTTACGAAGCCGAGAGTTGGCACCAAATCGTATGAATACAAGCTGAGAAGTGTTTTACGAAGAACAGAAGAAGTAAGTGTTTGACACAACTGAAAAAACACGAATGGAAAATTCAACTTGAAAACGGATGTCAATACTAAATAACCTGGAACACCTTCGCGGAAAGTTGTTGTCTATCAAGTTCTGAAATCTTGAAACCAAATATTTTAGTTTCATAACTGTTGAATTTGAGATTTCGTTCAAATTTCCCAGGCGGAAGATAGTCCTCAACTGTCGAAGAAAGAGGACTCTGCCACAGAGACTACCAACATTTTTGGTAATGATTTGTCTCGGCAGGATGATATCTCAGCAACAGATAACGGTTAGTTCCCCAAATATCAATGAATTTGACTTGTACTAAGTTTCACATTCGGAGGAGCAACTGGTGAAATTATTAGTTCTTCAAATATCAATGAATTTGTCTTGTACTAATGCTCTCAGTCCGAGGAACAACTGGTGAAATTAAGTTATGAATATGAACCCCCCCCCCAAACAAAAACCAAAGAAAAAAAAAAATCTCTCCCTCACACAACACACACACACACAGGATAAGCATTGAGCATCAAATTTGATATTAAAATGCTCTCATGGCCCTGCATTTTTCCCCATAATGTGTTCCTCTTAACTCTGGTAAACCTTTCCTGCCAATATAAGTAGTACCATGTGGTCCAAACGCTGTGTGCAAATATGATTTTGACCATATATTTGATATCACTTGATGGGGGTGCTTCTGTCATTTGCAGCAATTCCTGATAGTACAGTTACAGTTGAAGACGGGCTTTTCCATGGGAATTTTCTGGTAGGTTATCATGCTTAATCTCTCTCACTGTAAATTGACATCTTTAAGTGCAAATTGAATTATTGCCTTCTATTGCGAAACAAAAGAAGGATCAGAGAAGAGAGAGCTTTTATGTGCTAAATGCTGATGAGCTCCTTGACCGGTTTCTTCACAACAGGTAAAGGAGCTAGCGCAAGATGAGAATGAAGTATTGCAAACCCAGGATAATGAAGAAATCAAAGTATTGTGTCACTACCCATGCTGTTTGTTTCTGGGTTATACTTGAGAGCAGAACTCTAATTATGTTGTAATGTAGGTCATTGATGATAAGATACGACAATGGTCTAACGGGAAGCAAGGAAATATACGGTCCCTGCTATCAACATTACAATATGTGAGCAACATCAAATGATCAAACCTGAGTTCAAATTCAATTATATATATAAAATTTCCAATTGTTTTTCTTGTTTGTCGACAAAGATAATGCATCTTGATATGCCTTAAAATGATATTTCGAGGCTAGTTCTTGAAGTTCATGTGACGTACGTATTAAAATTGGCAATCATCATCAATATAGGTGCTTTGGCCTGACAGCGGCTGGAGGCCTGTGCCTCTTGTTGATATAATCGAAGGAAATGCAGTCAAAAGAGCATATCAAAGAGCGTTACTATGTCTACACCCGGACAAGCTGCAGCAGAAGGGTGCTGCTTCTCATCAAAAATACATTGCAGAAAAAGTTTTTGATATTCTGCAGGTAACATATTTGGCAACCTATTTCCCCTAAAGTATCATTAGTTGTCTTTCAAGGTATTATCTTATTTGGAATTGGTCATACATATTAGGCAATATTTGGCATACTGAAACGTGTTTTCTGAAAAGGAAATGAGAAAATGTTTTCCACGTTCCGAATATTCCCTTAATGTCTTGACGTTTACTTATTCATACCCGTGTGCTGTGGAATGACTGAGGATGTTTAGCAAAGATCTAGTGCCAATACTTCCATGAAATCATGGCTTGGGTTTAGTTAAATCCCTGGCAACCATAGGGTGTAGGAAATGAGGAATACACCTATCATTATTGGTTCTTCCAACATGCTTTTAGCCTCTTTTGAAACTTGAATCATTTTGCTTGTATTTGATATGCAGGAGGCATGGACTCATTTCAACATGCTTGGTGCTGTCTAACCTCTGTCATTACCAATACAGAGGGGCAAAGAAACCCTGATGAGAATTTGCTGTCTGTCAACGATGAGATTGATCCCTATAGCAACTTCATGTGATTACTTGGTCACGGAGCTGCAGCTATCTCTTGAGGTAGAGTGTAAATGATTGACTCCACAAATGTACAATTTTCAATGCTGGCATGGATTTGGATCCCTTGGAGAGCCTATTTCGTGCAATTGCTCAATTGCAATTATGCATGCAACACATTTTTTATTAAAATTTTTTAATTTTATTTATGACATTTTTTTTCATTCCAATACACTACATTTGAGCACAGCTCAAAAATAGGTACTGCAAGTAATCCAAATCTGGCTAAAATACACCCGAGAGCTCTCTTTTGTCCCAGTGCAGAAATTTTCGTATGTATTTGTAGCAGATAAAACACTGTACGCATTGCATGTTAAAATTATCGGGCTCCTATTATGGGATGTTTTCTGAGGTGGTCTTCCAGTACAAGCCCCTCGTTGTTTCTTCATCCTTCTTTTTCGTCAGAAGCCTTCGCGGCAGCGTGTCTCATTTCTGTTGCTGCTGCTTCTTTGTACTTGAACTTTTTATTGTCGTTGATGAAGAAAATTCTTCTGAACGCTCAAACCTAATGTTAAAAAAGACTCATTAACAGTAATATGCTATTAATCCCTATAATTTACGTTAATCTGTAAGTTCTTTAGTCCAGAAATTTTCAACCATATTCCTTTATTATATCATGGTTAGAGTTGATTCTTACATCTAGACGTCCAGGAACTTCAAATGCTTATCGTCATAGAAGAACGGGGCATTGGTCTGCAGGACATTCAAATGTATATATAAACTTCGTACCTTACAAGAATCTAGTGTCTTATCTGCATAAAATTTATCACTACATTGTAAATTTACAACCTAAACTAGTTATTCACAGGCAATGCATCAAATGGTCAGAATCAACAATACCGTTTTAAAACCACCCCACATTGGAGAGGATCCTACTCGCCCCCTACAAATTTACGAAATGATATTAGAAACGGAGACTGGTTTGAAAGTCGCAAAGCTCCAGCGGCAGATCAAGAATCAGATACACATCCACTTGTGAGTATTAGTTCCAGCAGGTCCTTTTTTTCCCCCCCAACGTTGTCTTAATTTCATTTTCTTTACCAACAGAACGACACAATGAATGACAGACCAGGATTCCGAATTATCAACAACACAAAAATACTTGCCGAAACACGAAATAGAAGATTCAGATTTAAGACCACGTGGTGCTTCCGGAAGAGCTCAGGTCATTCATCACATTGAACATTTCTACAACAACCAGCGTGACTCTTGAAATGGATGCTTCAAGTTCACAAGAGTTCACCAGCAATTAAGAACACTTAATTGGCCATGTTACTTACAACAAAAATACACAAATACCATTGGGATATTTGAGCAAGTATGGGTTGTAAGCACCCTCGCATAAGTTGTCAATTCAAGTGCAAATGCCAAGTTCGAAACTATGGAACTCGAAGGTATCAACATATCATTTGAGAGGTACGCCATGAAATTATCATTCGTCTTTCTGATGCATAACGCTACGTGGGCTATTATTACCATTGAGAGAAGCAAGATATATCCGCTTTTCAGCCAGCCCAATATCTGAAAGAATCAAATTACCCTGAAAGCAAAGCATAATAAACAATATCAAGCTAGTATCAACAAAACAATTAAAATAAGATCTCCCGTGCACCCAAAAACTTTAAGATCGATAAATGTTGCTCTCTTTAATAATCTAAGGATTCGCTATCAGGCTATGCTTCTTGGGGCAGAGGGGGAAAACAGAATGCAAATGCTGGCAAGAATAACAAGGACAAGAAATCAAGAGTTTGGTATTCTCCGCCTGAAGCTTTATAATTCAGAAAAAGATATTGAAGCACTCTTGCTTGCTGAATGGAAGTGAAAGAGAAAGGAACACAACGAAGTATAAATCGTTACAATTTGACCAATTACATACAGTTTAAAGTGAAACTGCAGGAAATGCCAAAAGGATCAAATCAAGTATTTATTCACAGTCTAACAATTTCACTCCCATTAAGTGAAGTATCTGCTAAATGCGAATGACAGGACAGAAATGGTATTCTCCCTCTTATTCAAATATTTAACTTCCACAACGGGGGCATGCATTAGGATATTTAAGAAAATCTAACGTACATATATCCACAACAACCAACTCATTCTAGAATTGGCGTCAGGAAATCCTAGTATGTAATCAGTGACGCAGAAAATAGAATTGCAAGTAAAAAATAGTCCACACATGCGAGCATACTATTCTGAAAGCTACAGAATAGGGCAAGTACCCATATCCTGCCAAAATACTTTCAAATCCGAAGGTATTAAAATAAGCATAAAGGACCGATTCACAATAAAAAACCAGAATAAACACATGCTGATAAAGTGTAACATCTGATACGAACGGCTTTCTGAACCTTTTATATCACGTATTCATGGAATTTCATACCTCAGCAGCCATCAAACTTCTAACATTATTAGCATAAAGTTTGGGATCGTCCTTCTCTAACTGGGAGGGATAGTAGACAGGTAACCAGATCACCTCCATATAGTTTACAAACTGACAGAGGAGGAGAACTATGTGGCGCACCTGCAAATATGCGGTAAATTTGAACTAAATAAAAAAGAAAATTCAGAAAGTATGACCCACCTAGCAAAACATAACAGTATAGACACTAGTTGATACTTGATATATTAGTTCTCAAGGGGGAAATTCAGAAAGTACAATAAAACTAAAACTTTATAACCACTCACCCCAGATATAGAATCCCAGGCAGGGCTAAATCTCTGGTAACGGTATTTTAGAATTACAGGAAGCACAGGCGCATTTGCCAAAAAACCACCAGTCTTAAATGGAAGAAGAAAGTCGCCATTTGTGGTTGTACCTTCTGCAGAATACTCAGTATCGTTAAATTAAAACAATTAATAAACTGTACAATAAGAATGATAACAAACAGATGCTCTAAATCATCCTTGATGTACTGACATATGCCACCTTTGATAGATGAAAGAAAATATAAAATGATAAGACTCAAAGAGAGACATATTTGATTATAACGTGACAGTTGTGAAAATACTTCCCATTCTGAAAATTCTCAAGCCAGAACAATAGTTCATACATTTTATACAATACATTTTTTCAGTAGGACACACATCAATTGTTGATTTACAACTGTACAACAAGGGTAGCTAAAGAAACATAGATAACATGAAATAATCAGAAGGATAATAACCTGGAAATAGCAACATTGGGGAAACCTTATTCTGATGAGCTTCTTGAATCCTTTCAGTGACAACACCTGCAGGAGGAAACGTCTGCAGTTTAGGTATACCTGATAATTTATGGACCTAACTTTCCTAAAAAGGGGGGGGGGGGGGGGAATAAAGCCTGAGTTCAAGGTCACCCTAGAACATTAAGAATCTTCAAGACAAATACTTTTACTAACATAAGTTGTTATCCATAACAAGAATGGCTGGGGCAGCTTTAGACGTGACACATGACAAATAGCAAGTCTATACCCCAAGAGTTAAAAGGGAATGCGTCTCTTAACGCAATATAGAAACTAAATAAATCAATTTGTACAATATACCAATCTAGAGATATCACTAATACAGCAGAACAAACAGTTTTAACTGCATTTGAATTTGAAAAAGAGCACAGATAATTCTTTCGTTTTTTCCCCTTAAAACACTGTAATATCTTATAACCATTGCATTCTTTAACAGTTTATTTATCAACTCAGCATGCAAAAGATCCCAGGAAATTAGTATGGCATTACAATGTGAACAAAAGAACCATGCAGAACAGAGGGTAGGAAGAGAGGCCCCCTGAAGAGGGGGGTTCAAGACTTTGCATATTATCAAGAGTATTACAATGCGCGTGCAACAATAAGCACCTGAAACACCCGTGGAGTCTGATGACTTTGATTCCCGGTGAACATAGACACAGCCGAGGCACTTACTGTCACAAAACATGCAATACTGTTTGAGCCCAAGGTTTTAAATTGTTTCACAGGTGAAGATAAAAGAGTATGCACTAACGCAAGGATAAGATACAGCATGTTTATTCCATAATTTAAACGATCATTAAACTCAAGAGAGTCTTATTTTGCATTATGAGAAGAAAAAAGAGCCATACACAGAAATACCTAAACAGCAAGAAACGCAGGAAAAATAGATAATGCATTCAGTGGGAAGCTAACAAACCTGATGAGACCAACTAAGGGAAGTTTAGCCACTGATGCCTTCAGCAACAAAATCCGAGATTAGCACATAGAGTTTGAAGCATGTGTCAGTAACAAATTTGAGGTCATCGCCTCAAAATGGGCAATATATATTCAATAAAAAACATGGGACAACATGACAAACCTTTGCAACAAAACTTGGGAATGAGGAAGACATGTGATACAAAATATCCAGGTATGACACGTGATTAGATATTATTACTCCAGGTCTTCCCATCTCTGCAGATTGGTTCTTTCCTTTCTTCTTACATCAAAAGAGAAAATTAGTAGAACTTTAGACAAATACCAAAAACAAAATATAGAGATAAGAAAACTGGAGCTTAACTATAATAATTGTAGCTGCACAATCACGTTCTACTTTCCCCTGAAGAAGGGAGGAAGAAAAGGAAGGTGCTAATTCTAGGTAGGTACATCAGCAGCCCAAAGTATATCATAAAATCCAGGGAGTCACCAAATTTCAATGAAAAATACATATTTTCGTTATTGTCAAATCAAATGAGATAGAATATTAGAGTATAGGCATATATGAATTAACCCTACAACCTTAATTATTTATTGAGGTACATAATACCTGGTTGAGCATTATATTCAATTTTGATTTATACATAAATATAAATTCTCATACAAGCCACACTTTTCATAACCGATGAACAATTTAGCTTCTTTTTTAGAATATACTATTTAGTATCTACAAGCCACATGAACAGTATGGTTTACGCTGGCTCCTTATCGCTTTCTATTCCATCATTTTTATTTTTTCTTTTATTTTTTATCTTTTCATCTTCCATTTTTATGATTTGAATTATAATTTTAAAATTCCCAGTTAAAAACTTGGTCAATTCAACATGTCTTTTAATCAAAAGATTTCTATTGGATTGTTATTTATCCAAATATTTCACGGGAAAATAGATTTTTTGAAGTTTCGAAGAACTGCTGTCTTGAAAAGAACGCTATGCACTTCTCAATGGTAAGTAAGAAATAAACCATTTCAAAGCAAGTTTTCAAACCTCAGACTTCATAGGACGACGTAGCAAACATAGTTCCACAAAAAATCGAGATAACTCAACAGTAGGGTTCATGCAGCTTAAATTCATAATCAAATTCGGGGGTGGCTTTCAGTAATCTGTACGGGTTATTCAGAAGCAGGAAGAGCTTCAGGAAGTCCAGTTTAGCGCAGTATAAGCACTAAGCAGGTCTCGTGGGCCACACCTCCCACCTTAAGAACAAGTAGAGGGTGAGATGATGCATTTAGAAACAAACAGCTGCGTCCATAGAACTTAGTAAGGAGTCCAACTCTCTCAATCACATCGGTCCTCTCAAACAGATTTGAAGTCAAGCACATAGCCATAAAGGCCAGCTAAAAACGTTTCGTAAAGATAAACAAATTTGAAGGAAGTACCTCAGTGGTGGGCTTTTCATCAGTATGCGGAGTCCGATAGGTCTCATGGATCCAGTAAAACCCGAGAACAAAAAGGATGAGCCTGGGGAGAGCTTTGCCAAACCAAATAATCACAGACTTTCTCCATCCGCGCAAGTGGGCGTAATCTTCCTCTCCATCCACCCGATAAGGGACGGAGAATAGTGTACAGATCCTACAAATGAAGTTATACAAGATCAAGATGGCGATGATCAGGACCACCCTAATAGGTGCTAATGTGAGCAATGCCAGAGCTAGCAGGAGCTTCTCCTTCATCGGCAAGGGTCCACGTCCCATGGCTCCGTAAACATCGCGTCTGACGTAGGGAGCGAATTTGTTCTCAAGCTCTTGGAGACTGTCAGAGGAGACATTAGCGTGGGAATCGAGACGAGGACGGTCGTCGGTGGTGGAGGCCTCACGGTGAGCAGGCTCGGGCTGTTTTGTACTGGATTTGGGCGGCTTCGAATTCAGGACCTTGAGTTCGCACTCCATGGGAGGAAGGAACCTTAATTACCTGAGCGCTTATCTTTCTCTTTCATACTACCAGGAGACGCTTCTTGAATGATACAATTAAAAGGTACTCCTATGTAAATATGAAGACGAATATGCCCAAGACGATGCTCAGACATCTGGAAATTTCACGGAGGCGGGTGCGCATGGGCGGGTAAGATAAAATTGTTGATAAATTCCCACGAAATGTGTCTCCGTATAATTGCTGGTATTTAATTTAATGATTACTATTATTTACAAATGTTACTTATCAACTCTTGGCTTGGGTGGCAAAGATGCAGTACTGATTTATCTTTTTTCTATTTCTCGTCAATTTTTTCCCCGTACATGGTTGATATATAAGAACAAATTAATTTACTGGGATAAATTAAGAAAATTAATTAAAATAATTATTTTTAATAAATAATACTATTTCCGGTTTTTAATATAAAAATTTATTTGACTTTTATTTTGATCTTAAATAAAAGATTTCAATTCACTTTATCTTTTATATTTATTCATTTTTTTCTAAAATGATCTTTCAATACACTTGATTAGCAAAAAAATTTTAAAAAAATAACATTTATTATTACAAATAACTTACTAATATTTTTAATCTATTTAATTAGCTAACTAGTTCTTATATTAAAAACTGTAGGTAATATGTGCTATCTTTTTTTAAAAAAATCTAATCACGTGTATTTATTGGAACTAATATTTAATATGTATAACTAGTATAAAAATTGTCTTAAAAAATAGGTAAATGTGAGTTTATGATTAAGTGAAAAGTCAAATTAGTTTTTATAAGTTACAAAACCTCGCTTGCTTTTCAGGTTTTTTTAATTTAAAATAGCTGACGTTGCGGATAACGTTTCGTGCCGTCACCCTATAGCCACTTCTTTCCCATTTTTTTATTTTGTTTTTTTTTTATGGCCACACACACACCCCGGCGACATTTTTTAGGCCTCTGCCTCCTCCATCTACTTCTTCGTGGGCACTTGGGAGAGGATAGTCGCGCCTACCAGCCATGAATCCCGTGCCCAGCTACTTCCCGGTTCGGTCAACGCCCAAATTATCACTTCGCGAGATCGTTTTCAGGTCCAAGAACAAAAAAATCACGAAGTCGCATTTGCCATGTTGGCAACAAGATGAAGACCAAGGATGTTTAAATGAAATCAAAAGTATGATTTTAAAAATAATTTTATGGTATATAAACTAAATATGTGAAGATATTTTTTTTATTTGTGAAAAAGTATTTTTAAAAAGTATTTTTTATTATATCAAGACACTCTCAAATAAGGGATGCTTTCCAAAATACATCTCTGTTGTTAGGCTCTGTTTAGTATCACGATAAAAATTACTTATAAATATATTTTATGTAAATTGAAATAAATTTTTTCCACATTTATTTATTTTATAAATTATGATTAAAAAATTATTTATGAACCATTTTAAATGGTGTTTTCGGGCATTGTAGCATTTCATTTGTCTAATTCTTCTGTTTATGAGCTCCTTTTTCTTGAGTTTTTCGGGTAAAAAATACTTTTAAGCCTGTGTTTCTTCTTTTGTAATAATTAAACACATTTTTAAAAAATGACCTAGATTACACTTTTTTTTTTAATATGACTTCCTTTTTTTATCTGTTCTGAAAATATGACTTAGATTATCATCAATGTCAATATAAAATTAGAATCAAACACCACCATGTACAATTACATGGTGTGGTTTTCTTTTTGCTATGCATAGATATTTTTCATATTGAATGTAGTCCTATTTAAAATGTCGTCTAACACTAAATATGCCCATCTTTTTTAGCAGAAATTCAAAACTTCTTATGCATATTATGAGGGACTAACTCTTTTTATTAGATCCAATCCCTATTAGTTAACAGTGCAACTTTCTTTTACCGAAAACTTTGTAATCTTTCCTTCAGTTGCATGAGGATGTATTTAGAATAACTTATAAGTAGTTTTTTAATTATAATTTTTAAAATACTAGATAAATACATGAATGTAGTTTTATTTTGACTTGCATAAAACATGCTTATAAGTGATTTCAGTTGTAACTTTAAAGGGTGTTTGGACGAAATCAACTCATAGTTTGGAGAATAACTTCTAAAGAATAGATTTTGAATAAATAGATTCTGTGAATATATTTTAGAATAATGGATTTTGAAAAAAAATGATTTTGATAAAATAAGAATATTTGAATAATTGTTAACAGAATAATTTTTTCCATACACAAATTACTAAAAAGGACATAAGCTAATATGATAATTAGATAAATGATAGATTTTAATTCATATTTTTGTTTGAAATAATAAATTATATGTGAAAAAATATAATTAATATCATCCCCAATCCTCAGTATAAAAGCTAATTGGGTATTTCATTTGATTTTGAATATAAAAAATCAATCTATCTTGTCTCGTACATTTATTCATTTTTTTTCAAAGTAGTCCTCATGTTAATTTGCACATATTAAACGATACATCAAATAATAATCCCAATACACATCGTTAATAGATGTTTTAGAGAATACAATACTTATTTATCATAAATAAATAATTTGACTAATTTTTTTATTATTTACAAATTAGTTTTCTAACTTTTATATTAAGGATCAAAGGTAGTAATTGATATGTGTATATATATTTATATCCGAAACTATGATTTTATACCTAAAACCATAGTTTCCAAATGAAAAGTGATTTTAGAAAAAATTATAGTGTATGGTTATTTTTATACAAACCATAGGTTCAAATTGAAAAGTAATTTTAAAAAAATAGTGTTTGGATGTTTTTTCTTCAAACCATGGTTTTCTCTTCAGAACCATGGCTTGAAAAAAAACCCAAACACCCATTTAAACGGAGCTCTAATCTTTCTCCCCCTCGAGTTTTTGTTATTTTATCGGACCAAGCCCAAACATAGTGTCCAGAAATTCAACTGGGCACGGGCGGCCCAACGATGTGGGTGGGCCGCATTCTAGAATGGGAATAGCTGCGGTGGAGCATGGGAGGGGGAATACAGATAGCCGTTGGATCTGATCTGCCGCTTCTGGTGGGGAGGCTTTGGATTCTTTTTCTTAACGGTAACTACCTCCCCATCACAAGCCAAAGCCACATATCCTTCCCTTTGCCTTCTTTCCCATTTTACCAAACGAATACGACCCTCTGCCTAATCCTTCCTTCCTCTCTTCCTACTCCTCTCTTTCCTTTTCCCCTCTCTGCCCTTCTCTTCTTTCTCTGTTTCTTTTTAAGCTTCCCAAGTCCCTTACATACAAATTACTTTAGGACAGTTAACTTCAACGGTCTAACCATCACATCCTTTGCATCCATGTATCTTTCCCATAACTTTGCTTTCTGACATTCCTTAATATTAAGACTACTTAAGTTATACCAGTCCCTTTCATCGGATTAACTTTTCTACCACTTACTCTAACAACAAAAAGCAACCTCATGTTTTTCTGCTCTCAATCATTGCTCAACTGTAATTGGGAGCTCACAGTAGCATGGCGTTTGATGACTTGCCACCAATGTAAAAAGTGATGATTCTAAATCTGACGTCCACCGCAGAAGAAAAATTAGACTCGCCAGTTTTCTTCTTCTTCTGCAATTTCTCAATTGGCTTTATTATGTCTCGGCACGTGAGGCTCTGGCCTGCATTTGCATTTCTCTAGAAAGGATTAGGTGGCCTATTCAATTAAGTGTGAGGATACGGCTGCTATTAGAGGCAGGTGGAATGGGCAAAAGAGACATTTCGTCCAAAGTTCCCGTTGCTTTCAAGCACAAAGCACCGGCACTAGCCGGTACTTCGTCCATTCCCGGCTTTTTCGGCCTCTAAAACCTCCATAAACCCGAGCCATCTCCTCCGAACTAGCTCTTGCTCAGTTTATCTCTTAGATCGGAGCTTTTCTCAAGAATTCAGAGAACTTCCTGAGCTCATTTTTCTAGAGCCTGTACCCTAACACTGAAGTTTGCTCCCTAGGAAATTCAAAATATACAATTCAAATTCCAATGCCTGTCGCTACGAAGCTTCCTTCTTCGGCTAAATCTGTTTCTGAACCGCGAGCCATTCTAGGACCCGCTGGGAACAGAGTTAGGGTTTCCGGAGATCAGAAGCGCAACGACGACTATCTCAAGAATCCACGGCGTACAAGAAAGCAGATGCCAAAAATTCCGCAGTCCATTGTCACCAATAATGTGTCTACCGACAGCACATGCTCCTCGGATTCATCGAGCACTTCATCGGCGAAAAATGTTACTTCTAGAAGGACCGTCAGGCGGAATGGGTTAAAGCCGGTGAAGATTGTGCCGGACGGCACCGTTGGGGCGGCCTTGTCTCCCAAGGCTTCAAGTCCTTCCAATAGGTGTGACTGGATCACTCCAAATTCTGGTAAGTTTTTCAGGAGTTACAAGTTTTTGCGCTAAGAATGCATTCTTTCTTTCTTTTCCTTCGGTTTTTTCAATCTCGGCTATATTTAATGGATTGGGAAAAAAGCATGTAGTTTACCCGCATTTCTCTATCTCTGGCCTTGGTACAAAACGAACCTTTACCTCCTGGAATACGCTGCCATTTTGTGTTCCGAGTTTGATAATTAGTTCAATTCCCGCAATGATAAAGCACTTTAATTGCTATGCCGTGAGAGTGTGAGCTTTGATCCTCGGCAAAGAATTTTGTCACTTCTTTCAGCTACATATCCACCGACTGAGTTGCCTTATTGAGAAATGTTATCTGTTTCTAAAAACAGATCCTCTTTATGCTGCATTCCACGACGAAGAATGGGGTGTTCCAGTTCATGATGATAGGAAGCTATTCGAGTTGCTGGTGTTTTCACAGGCATTAGCAGAACTGAGTTGGCCAGCAATTCTTAACCTTAGAGACGTATTCAGGTATCTCTATCCCTAGATTCATATGATTCACTTGCAATCTATCCAAAACATAATCTGACATTTGTTGTCTGATATCACTGATAGGAAGCTCTTCGAAAATTTTGACCCATCGTCCGTTGCTGAGATTACAGAAAAGGAGTTGCTAACTTTGAGAATAAACGGCAACCCATTGCTATCAGAACCAAAACTCCGTGCCATTGTGGGGAACGCAAACCGATTCCTTAAGGTAATTCTTAATTTACAACTATTGCCAACAAGACGCCGTAGCAAGTTCCTTCTGATTTTTAACAGTGTGAATTGATTTATCCACGTACAGGTACAACAGGAGTTTGGTTCATTCAGCAACTACTGCTGGAGATTTGTGAACCACAAGCCAATAAGAAATGAATTTCGTTACGGACGTCAAGTACCCGTAAAGACTCCAAAAGCGGAACTCATTAGCAAGGATCTAATGCGCAGAGGTTTTCAATGTGTGGGGCCTACTGTGGTTTATTCGTTCATGCAAGTAGCAGGACTCGTTAATGATCATCTAATAACGTGCTTCAGATACCATGAATGCAACGTGACAATCAGAATGGAACTTAAAACACAGGTTGAGGAGAAGGAGGTTCGAAATGAAACAGCATTAGAGTAGAGATTAATGGGAGGAGATGTCCCGATGTTACTTTCTGATCCCCAAAGATTATATTGTTTTCTTCCTTGCCTTGTTAACTTGCTGCTGCTCGTCACCTAACGTAACTAGAAAATAATTGATCTGACCTTCTCTTTTTATGCCTCCGCGTGAACGTGTATGCTTCTTTTAGGTGCTAAAGTTATGGTTCAAGGGAATTGTTTTAGGATATCTGATGTTGCAATGTATATGTTTTGTAATAAAATTTCCAACTCTGTAATGCATACCTATTCTTGGGCACTAGCATCGTTACTTAGGGGCCAACCTATGATCTCGGAAAGGACTTTGAAAAGCCACATTACTGTATCATACTACTTACGGTCTTAATTATAAAATCTTATTTATAGTTTATAGGCGAGATTTTATAATTAGTACCAGAGGAAGCATTAAGGTTTCTCTCAGCTCTTTCTAGGATCCCCAAAATTCCTTTCTTGGGTGAAATGATTTCTGATTTCAGAAGCCTGTAATTCAGACCATATTCAGAATTTGATCCTCGTTGTATTTACACACTTCCTGTCAAAATCTCGAGGGAAGGAAATCAGTCGCTCGCTATGAATATGGATATAAATCTCTTAAATTTTTTACCCACAAGAGAGTGATCAAATAGGAAAATTGCGCATGCATAAACGCTGTTATTTGAAGTTCACAATGTAATATTTGTTTTTTTTACCAGAAACAATATTGTAATATTTGTTAGAAAACAAAATGATAATAGTTAACAATAAAAAATTATATCCGTTTAATAAATAGTGAAATGGACGATGTATATAAATTCAAATGAAGGTACTTGTTGCTATCACTTGTCAGGGAACATACAAATCAGATGAATGGTACACAGGACATTTAGTCAAATGGACGTCTTTTCACGTATACAAAACGTAAGTGGCCACTTTAATTGGTCTAATGACATTGCGAGAATCAATATGCATGTGAAATTGTGAACCACTCCCTTTCGGTCCGCGCCATTAATATGCAAGCGACCCACCGCTAAAGGGACATGATAACGTGAGAAAATCTTTTCTGAAGAATTACAGCATTTTTTCGAGAGCCCTACTTAATTTAAATTTTCTTAATAAAAATAATCCAAATTAAAGTAAAGTATTACAGACTAGAGAGAAAAGGCATAAAGAAAATAGTTCAGTAAAAATACAAGATTTCAAAATTATATAGAGTATATAATTTGTAATTATTTTCATAGATAAGTTGAATTGGTTTTCGGTTTCTAATGAGGGCAGGAAGATTTCACCTTTTAAGATCCTATTATGTAACAAAAATAAAGATTTTTATAATTTTTAGTCTTTAAAATCTAAACTCATTTTTTTAATTCCTGAAATTTGGAATGAGTTTTTAGTTCTTAAAATTTAATTTAATTTCATTTTGATTCGCCTAAAAATTTTTAATTTGAAACAATTTTTTCAAAAATAAAAATAAAATAAAGTTAAATTCTAAAAACTAAAATTACTAATTTCAAATTTTAGAGATTAATACTAAAATAAGATTAAATTTCAAAAATTAAAAGATAGTATTAATCTGAATAAAATACGCATAAAATTGGATGCCACACAAAACACAATGCATAAAATTACAAGTACGATAGAGCACATCCTTTATGGCCCGCAGAACCAAAAATGAACTGTTTGAATGTCCTTGGGTGTGTGGAGATGCGTGAACTGTCTGATTGACAAAACAGTCATGAAAGAAGATCAATAATAATTCAAAGTAAGCCATCAACAAATGGATTTCTTGACAAGGCAACTTCGATGAAACCCAGCAATTCAATCCATATATCGCCTATGGGGTCCAAAAACAATGCCTACTAAGGCCTTCGAACAATTTGAGTTCTGGATCTTCCTCACTAAACGAAAGATGACAATATTACTTCTATCCTATCTCGGGTTTGTATAGAGACCAGTTTGAACATAATATCTCCAGTTCCCATGACAAATTTGGATCCATTCATGCGGCTTGTGCCATGAAGGCTAGGCCAGGAGGTAACCATTGTGTGCTTTAACACCAAGTTGAATGAACAACCAACTAGCTAGCAAAAACAACCTTGCAGTCTCCGATAACCTATATGAAGTATATGTTCTGCTTGCCTAACTCCGAGCCTTCCCGCTTCCAAGGGTGAGTTCCAGATCATCCAATCCGACTTCATGAATTTTTTCTCCAACCCAAGGCATTACCTGTACCCCAAAGTTTGCTTCTGAACCTTTTCTAATTTGTTGCATTGCATTATCAGGCAGAGTGTGCTGAGCCATAGGTTTAGTAAGATTGAAGGTTGGAGAGGTTGGTGCAGCAGATGCAGAGGGTACAAATGCCTGAAAGTTCTCCCATTGGCCAGAATCAACAGTTGAAGTGCCAGATTCATCACATTCAGGTATGGTGGCTGGAGTATAAAACTGGCGGTGAGTTGGGCTAGCGGGAGCAGAGGCTGCAAAGAAAGGATAATTGAAGGAGGCCATCGATTCTTTTGCTATTGACTCCCATGTGGGAATTGGTTTGGGATTTCTTGATGTTGGGGAAGAGAGAGGTGGTGTCACAGGGGCACTGTTTGATATTCTCAAGGGAGGCAGAGATGCAGGAATGACATTTCGAATATATGGTATTAGATTTGATGCGTTGTTGCCATCCAAACGAGAAGGACTCGGGAAAGAGGAAGATGAAGGGCTGACTTGGTAAGAAGGAATTGGACTGGGAAAAGCTGAAGAAAAAGGGCTAGGATTTTGGGAAGAGTATGGAGTGTTTCTGGTGGAAGTGCCAGTTGTATCAGCTGGAGGTGGCCTGCATCCCTATGAAAAACAATAGTAAGAAGGAAATTAGTAGGTTACAAATGAATAAGATGAAGGTTGATCACGTAATCCATGTGCAATTTGATCAGCAAAGTTTAGTTTCTTTTTCCGTTTGGCGATAGCTTAGTAGCAGATGTGGTAACTTCATCACAATCGCCAATCTAATACATCAGATAATCAAAGTAAGAAAGCTTCATCGGAACGATTTTGATTCGTGATTCCAACGTGGCATAAATAGATATCTAAATAACAATGATTCTTCCCCATGAATCATGATGCCCATCTTTTAATCGTTCACAGAATCTCGTTCTCTCTCAAAAGCACAAGAGACGCCGATTGAATATTGCATAATTTTAAACATGGAGAAAGCCTCAAAAGCACAGATTCATTCGACTGAAAAAGAAAAAGGTCAGAAAATAAGATCTCTCGGCATCTATGGATACTGCTACATCGACCCAGCCAAATTCCAGTAAACCTCCTTGGAGCCCAAAACAAGTTTGATCCCACAAAGATAAGCCATTTGCTAGTGTAAAACAGTGAGATCGACGAGCTTAAACATGAAAAAAGAAGATCCCAACATTCGTGAAAGTAGAATTGGGCCGTTGATTAAGCAAAAAGGAAGAGCACCTTGCGATATGTAGTGCCGTCTTCTTCAACAGTCCAACCAGCTTCAGCGCAGAGAGCCTTCAGGACCTCGTTGTTGTCACAATGCTTGGGCAAATTGTAGTTCCCCTGAGCTCTGAGCCCAGTGTATATCTTGGCCGCTATGGCTCTCCTCCTCCTCTCTCTCCTTCTGTTGTTTTCCCGCTCCCTCCAAGACGGCTTCCTCCTACTCGTCGCCGCCGAAGTTGCTCCGTCGGACGTCATTCTCCGGCAATGGCCTCAGTCTCTATGGCGGACCTGAGGAAGAAGGAGAGCGGGTGTGTCGCAGGAGATTTAAACCCAGAGGGGGAAGGAGTAGTGGGCTCACGAGGAATGCGCTCTCCCCTCCCCTGCGCTGGATGTGTTATGTGTAGTGTGCAGGAATCTCTCCGGGTTTGAGAAAAGATAAAGCTAAATTTGGGGGATGATACTCTGCATACAGCTGCACCCAACAAGCTCATGAGCCCGTGCTTCCCCAGCTTTTGTTTTTTGTTTTTGTAATTTTCTTTTTGGGTTTGAAACAGAGGCGTTTCTGTATCCGATGAGATTTGTTGGGGTTGGAGTGTGGTGTGATAACATAATTATTGGGGAAGGTGGGCCCAAACAGTTACAGTGGGGCCCATCTCGGGAGCGAAGAAATGATCAGGCGACGCCGATGAGGGCGGGTGGGCGAGAGGGGTTGCATCATGGGACAGAAAATGTTTGGCAAATGCCAAAGCACTTTTTGCAGTTTTTGCTGTGCTTTAATATTTTGGGAGGGGGGGCCTTGTCTGAATTATCTGATCTTTTGTGTGCTATTTCCAACTGGTCTTGAATGGGTCAAAATAGGAAGATTTGAGATAAAAGAGAAAAGGGTGGTGGTAAATGCCATGAGTAGCAGACAAATTGGAAATGGGGAAACTTTAGATAAGAGCAGTGGTAATCACGTTCGAGAATAATGGAAAGATCCGTGAAAGAGTTGCTAACAGTGAACAAGTAACAAGGCGTCAACACATTATTTCCATTCAACGCCGCAAAAGCGAGTAAGCGACAACACTGACTGCCAAAACAGATTAACAAACACGACGGAACAAAACAATCCCATGGCAAGTTCAGGACTAAAAAGCAGCTTTATCTACTTTAAAATTTAATTTACCGTATACTAAGCTCCTACTCTCGTGACATTTTCTTTCAGATCATTACGGGGCCACAAACCTCAGCACAGCAGAAAAATATGTTTCCCCAACACAACATGCTAAGCAACATGAAACATAACTGATTGTACTCCAAGGCTTTGCCCAACATTACATTGCGCTTCTTAGGGCTGATTGTTCATCGTGAGATGAGGGGAGGAAAACCATACTCTGGCAATAGAAACTTGCCAGCAATGACCACATTAATAAAAAGATCAAACTTCTTCCAACTTCGAAACTATGCACAACTAACCTTTCATGCCTCAACAAAAAATAATGTGATTCGCATATTTCACCTGTAAAAAGGTTAAGTGAACCTGCAAAACCACGTCCCAAAACAGAACCCCAATAATAAGGGCATTGAAGTCTTTCCATCCTCTTGCCCCCGACTTTCTCCAAATTTTTTGAGAGGTAGGCCACAGAAGACAGAAAGACCCCACTGTTTCTCCCTTTTGTTCATGGGTAAATTAGACAGGCATGAACGTGACTCGTTTTAGGCACCATACAGGTGTACAATACCCACTATGATTGAAATAAAAAACGACTTGTTTACATGACAACAAGAATGATCGATAACATATTGAATATAATTTCCATATCATTGATTGGTTCCTGGGGTTGTAGGTAACCAACAAAAGGTTCACTTGAACGCCTTTGGAACACCTCTACTGTCTCCGAATACTTTTCTTAGCAGACAGGTCAATAAGCTCCTTCATCGTATATTTTCACCAAATGAGCGTCGGTCAGAAATGCTTCTTTGATTTCTATGTTTAGCAGGCATGAGAAATTAGCTCATGCAACTGAAAGCAAATGGTTGAAATGAGGGCTGCAAATGGCCGGCCTCAGATTTTTCTCATGAATCATGCTTCTATCTTCTGCGAAAAAATCTGCAGTCTTGAAAATGAAGGGGTTCATTCCCCCAACTAACCCACCCAGTGATCATTTCTCTGGCAAATAGCTCAATACATCGGGCCGGCCTCACCCCAGGAACATACTCCATTAACAAATCTGACCATAGAAAAAACAACATGGGAATCCAGCAGTCTCATGACGCATAAAGTACTGAATATAGGTGAAATATCTAACCAAACCCTCATGATTCAATTTCTACCACTTCATTTAAATTATAAACTAGAGCTCAAATACATATCCTACCAGTACCACCATACGATGAAAACACCACAGATCGATCAGAAGGTTACCTGCAATCGGGGGCTTCCTTGAGTAATCCCCAGGAATGCTCATAATCACGCAATTATCTTTTACTGGCCTAAAATTCGATTGCCTGTCAGAATATGTGGCCTTGAAAGGATGAAAAAACAAGAGAAATATAAATATATGGGCAAAATATCAACCAACTGCAAAAAAAAAAAAAAAAACTGCCAATTCAAAATTGGTAGTTCTAACCTTTCCGCAGCTGTAGCCCAAAATAAGGATTTCATACGGTCTATGATGAAAGAGGTCCAAGTCACCAATCAAGGATCCATTTGCTTTCACCTGAAATAATCAAGAAATACTGGGGATTAGAAAGACATCGCACAATGTATCTGAGTAAGCAGAGGAAGTGATTAACGGAAGGAGATCACCTTCAACCAATAAAAAGTAGCAGCATAGCTGACTCTCCACGCAGGAAAAAGCTCTCTCTCAACAAAACCACGGAGTTTCTCTCTGTTGGTCACCCATAAGGCTACAAGTGCTCCTTCAGTGTGAGTAAGTTGCATAATAGGAAGAGATAAAAGATATCTGTTGGGCAAGGTTGGGTACCTGCATTGATGACAATATATCTAGACTTTTCAAAGACAAAAATTTAAATTCACAAAGAGGTTCAGAGAGCAACAAACTATCCTGGAAGATAAGCTGCATGTCCAAGTAAGTTTACAGAAAGTAATACTTTTCGTAATTAAGCCAAAAGTAAGCTATAAGAATCGTCATGGTTTAACGGTTAGAGTGAGAATTTCCTTGTTCATCAATCAAATCAGTCAATGATACTACGCACATTTACAATGGAAATAAGCAAACATAAGAGCAGGGATCTATTTATATACCTTGATTTCTGGTTGGCACTAGCATTTTCCCACGGTGGATCAACCACTATGAGGTTGAAGCCAGAATCAGCATTGGCTGGATAAAAAAAAATTGAGAAAAGCATCATTACAACATGCAGAGATTTCTCAATGATCAAATTAAGTTTTTCAACAAGTTGCTGTCACCAAGACCATCCAAGAACTGGCTATCCTATAACATGCTGTTAGAGACTTACAGCCTTAATGTATAGAGGATAGACAATCAGATAGCTAATCACATGCGTAGAGGAGAAAATGTTTGTAATTAGAGAAAAACACCACTACCACATAGAAAAACAGAGTCAGGAAATAAAAAAGAGTCATTATAAATAAAATCATTACCAGGAACTAGGTTGTGAATCTGTCCCACGTCAGACTTCCACATGGTCAAAACAAATAACATAAGAAAACATGTAAGATACACTCATGATAAGGAGGAACCACGAAGGTCACCAAAACAAAACCAGCCCTTAAATTGTTTAAGAGGGTGTTTGGATGGAAACCAAACCATGGTTTCAAAAGTGATTTTACTGTACACGAAGTAAATATGTGAAGGAGTTTGTCTCGATTTGTGAAAAAGTGCTTTTGGAAAGCACTTTTAAGCAAACCCAAACACCCCCTAAGACATGTATAATCATGGAGGATTTGACATACCATGTAGAAGCAACTCTCTCGAGGTATTATATAATGATTGGTCAAAAATTCAGCTTGTGCATCATCAGTGGTCTCGTTGGCAATCAAGTTATTGAATACAGAGAGTATCCTCTTTTCTGTACGGTCTGAGAAACCAAAATCCCTTGCGGTAAGGTTTTGTAAGAAAACAATAATAAGCAAAATAGTAGCTTGACATATAAAGAACTCAACCAAAACAACCAAATGATATCTTATTGCGTGAAAAATCCGGATAAGTACAAATGTTTAAGAAAAGAAAAAAAAGTAATACCTCCGGTCCTAATTATAAGAGCTAGTTGACTAATTTGAAGAGATTAAACAAAAAAGTTAAGTTAGTTATTTATAATAAATATGTATTGTCTTTCCTAAAACATCCTTACTAATCAAAGATATTAGCTAAAACTACTATTATTATTAGAAGGATTACTTTAAGAAAAAATATATAAATATAAGAAACAAAATGAATTAAGGTCTTATATTTAGGATTACAGTAAAAGTCAAACAAAGTTTTATATTAAATTTCCCTACTCAGCACAGATGTCTTTTTTAAATAACGAGAGATTAAACAGATAAAGCCGATTACTCCCTTAGGATGATTTTATTTCAGCCAGTTTCTTATGCGTCGTATGTGTACATTCTGAAAGTATTAATACATCATTCTGAAAATCCGTTTACACATTCAGCTAGCGACCATTCAAATGGAAGCATCAATCAATGGCCAATTCCAGCTACAAATCCCACCTTTGTCCTCATTTGTCTGACCACTAAGACGCACATTAAGAGTTATCTCATAGAGTGGTGCTTGCCAGACCTGTCCTAGTTCAACGAAAGACTGCTGAGCCACTGGCAATGTTGAAAATTCGCAATCCGCTGAGGAACTAGGATCATTCCTCAAATTGCTCAAGACATCTAAGAGACCAGTAGATTTTTGCAAAGACTCACGCGCCTTCAGCAAAAAGGACCTCGCTTCCTGCCCCCACAAAATAAAAAGCCCTATGATATTACATATAGAAAGCACCGTCACAAAACTGTTATATACATGGTTTGCACTAACAGAGGACGACCAGGAAAGAGGAATACCCGATGGCGCTGTTCGGCAATATGTTCTCTTTCGTTCAGAATTCGAGGTTCCTTAACATTTTGTTTTCGTTTTCGTTTTCTGGAAGTGGAACTAAGCCTAGGATCTTGATTGGAGGGCTGGGATTCGAAGAAACGAGTGTAGTATGAAGAAGGAGAAACCCTGACGTGGTTGTAGGAACGATTCAGAACACGAACAGGATCCACGAAAACAGCGTTAGAATCTTCAAACATGTAAATACCGGACTCCAAAAACTGTGCAATCTTCTCTTTGTTCTGTGACTCCGCACCCATGCTTGCCAGTTACTATTCCCAGCACCAAAGGCTCGACCGCCCCTGATGCCCAGTGCAGCTCCAAGTTCGATTTGGGACTAGAAAAAGGAAATATATAACTAAATATGTACTAAATAAAATAAACTGTGGAAACTGCAGAACGGGCCGGGAGGGTTGATGGGCTTACGGATTTGACTGGGGGTAGACCCAGTAAAGTTGGTGGCCCTTTGATATGGCTGATAGACTTTCACCTAATTTTTCCATCTTCATTATTGCTTTTTTAATTAAAACATCATATGATGTAGGCTATTGATATGAGATCATATAACGAAACCTCAAATATTCAAACAAATTCTTCTATGAATTCTATCAGATGTTTTCTTTCTTGATATGATTAAAACAGATTAAAATTTTTATTTGAGATTTATTTTTTGGGTAAAGGTATTTGAGATTTTAATATAACCAAACTGTTTTTCCCCAGAACGTTAAATTATTTTAGCAAATTAATTCAAGTTATAATATTAAAATATTTAATAAAACTTAATCGGTTGTCCCCCCCCCCCCCAAAAAAAGGATATACTCGTATAATGAAGCCCTTTTCCGGACGACACTAACAGAAGCTTAACGACACGACCCGACACGTCACGGAGGAAATTTAATTTCTACAGCAGAGATTAAATTCAGTGAAGTGTTCAAATAATAAAGAGAAGGGAGTAATAATTGTGAACGGATGATATGGGGGACACGTAGAACACATGAAAGAAGAAACGAGAAAGTTGTTGGACGGTGGAGTCCCATTGTGCTTTGTCCAGTTTTGCTATGACTTGCTTGGAACGACACCTGTGGAGACATATCCGGCGCAACCAAATAGTACTCCTTTATCTACCTATCCTTTGTCTTTTTCCCATCCGAACTTCAGTTCCTCTTCCCAGCTGCTACAATTTATATAAAAATATTTTTCGAAAGTACTTTTTAAAGTTCTAAATACCTTGTTAAATTAGTCCAACCTCAGAAAATCAACCACTTTTACTCCATATTTGTGCTAGAATTTTCTCCTCTTACTTTGATCGGGAATTTATTTAAGAGATGATCTACTTATTTGAATATTTATAAGCACATTTTATATGATATGACACATAATAAAACTGCGTAAACTTATATTTATAAATCATTTGGAATAAACCTAGAGAGACAACCGAAAGACCCGAGGACTGCTTCCATGCTTCTTTCCCAGGCTCGCAGGGCGCTTGCGGGGAAACCCTGTAGTCCTAATAATGTCTGGATTAATGCTGTCTTGCTCATGTTGTGGGATCTCCTGCATGATTATCATACGCTTTCCGAATCGTAATTAAGCCAAAGCAATTCACCTATGCGGGTCCCCTTTTAAGGGTAAATTATAGCATTTCTTTCTCTTTCTTTCTTTTAATTCTCAAATAGTCAAATGCGGTTCTTCCCTGCCCCTTTCCGCCTTTTATCGTTACTCATGAGCAAGACACGCGTCAGTTCTTGAGCCTCTTTCCGAAAATATAATCTGCTTCACTATTATATTACTGGACGCATTAGGTGTGGAAACGACCCAAGGTAGGAAACGGCCCCTATCTATAATCCGCGGCTCAACTTGCTCCGCTGTGGCGGGAAGCCAACATCCATTAGATATTTTCTTGTAATAAGAAATGTTTAGTGCTGCTTTATTTAATGTTGGTGCGCCTCTTTATGTCGTCTCAAGTTTACAATAATATCCCTTGGAGACGAAGGGTTATAATCTGAATCGCCCTTTATAAATATTCAGTCAAATAACCGTCTCTGCCACTCTGGCAGGAGTGCATTGGGGGTTTAATTTATTTAGACTTCTACTAATTGCCAAAGGATTAGCGAAAACTGTTGACTATTTGTGAAAACCGGCGGCGGATTGGGACGGGAAGGGACTACGGGAGGGAAAAGGATGGGACAGACCGATGGGAAGGAGAGAAGGGCGATTTCGTCATTCCATAAAAGGGGCCCAACGACGGAGTCAACAGGTCAGCTGGAGAATGCCATAGAGGTTACATGCAAAGCAGCGCGTGGTTTTGCCTCATGCCCATCATGCCGTATCATCGGCTCTCCTCAAGCGCCTGATTAAAGCGCCAACCTCTCTCCTTTGACGTGTCAACCTCCTATTCGATCATTTCTTCTCGTCGGGATTCATACCTACACACTAATTAACCATACCAGTCACTCTCACCATCTCTCTCTTCCTCTCTGTCTCTTACTCACACACCGGTTCTGTTTCTCTCTCTCATCTGTGTTTTTTCTCTCTGCAATTTTTTTTCCCAAATTTCTCTTGCGTCCAATCTCTTCTGCTCCGAAATTGGCCTCTACTCTGTCCGCGACGCAAGATCTTCTGATTATATACAATTTCGATTGATAATTTGGGAGCTTTTATTTGGTTTTTCCACTTGCAAAATTCCGAGTTAAAAGCGTAAATGCTCGAAGCAATGGAAACTTCCGTTAATGGTGGCTTCACCCAGTTGCAGAGCTGCGGAGACAGTAGCGAAGAGGAGCTATCTGTGCTCCCCCGTCATACAAAGGTCGTCGTAACCGGGAATAACCGTACCAAATCGGTTCTTGTTGGTCTGCAAGGAGTGGTCAAGAAGGCCGTTGGCCTTGGCGGGTGGCATTGGCTGGTAACTTTCTGGACCAATTTGATTTTTCCGAGAGAATGGGTTATGGTATTGCCTTATCGGGATTGCCCGAGACTAATTTTGGGTTACATTGTCGTTTGTCTTCATAATTATTTTATCCCGACATCAATGTCAGTATGGTGTTTTCATGTTGTATTGCTGTTTCGATATCGTCCCAATCTTTTTACGGTCGAATTTATCACTTCCAAGCCTCTATTGCACGCTGATATCTTATGTTTGAATTTAACAGGAAGATCATGAGCCCGTCGCAGAAATTCTTATTCAATCACTTTATTGACGTCTCTTAATTTGAAATTTCCTTGTCCTGCCTATTTTGTGTTGCCATTTGATTAGATTTTATCAGTGCATGTATGTTCCCCGTTGCAATTTTTGATCACTACATGTAGGTATCCATTGCATGTTCGAGATTATCTATGGATCTGGTGTTCTAGAAGGTTCTTTATAACGATCGGTTGCTTAATTTTTCTCTTGTGCGCTCTTTATTGTCGAAGTAGGTCAAACCCTCTTTGTTGTGATTGCTTAATCATGGGTTTATGACGAGTGGTTTTTAAATGAATGTTAATCTTGCTTGTGGATCTTTCTCATGCTGACGTGGGATGTTGCATATCAAATTGTTCCCCTGAGTGTCGCATGCGTTTTCTGATTGTCATTCCTTTGATTGGAGAATGAAATAAGAACCCGTTGCTTTATATTTAGACCTACTTAACTTCATCGTGCACCGAGTGACCCTGATCAGCTGGGCAATTCCCGGTTGGGCTTATACTGTATAATGTCTCCAAATATTAAATAACGTTAAATGCATACGCACGTCATGGGCTGGATTCTTATTTCTCGTTGAGGATAAGAGGATAATCGTTGGAATATTGGAATTTTTTGACACTTAAATGCCTGTTGGTTTAACCTAATTATCTAAGTCTTTTTTGGTTGCCGTGCTTCGTAAACCTCTCTTTCACTTTGTCTCTGTGCTTGCAAAGCTGATCTATGCATCAAGAGGTGTTCTGTCTCTGGGGTCTTTTTTCTTGGGATTTGGATTCTAACTAATGGTTACACACTCACTTTGTCCGAAATTAGGTTGGCACTTGGCGTTGCCTGGTTTGAACTTTGGTGATGGAAAGGAATTTGTTTGCTGTTATGCGAAGTTCTCCTTTCAACCGACCATTTGTTTTATTCCATGGTTTATTTCAAGAAGCATTTTGCTTGGTCAAGATGATTCTCACATTGTGCACGGTATCAAATTTGCAGGTTCTTGCAAATGGTATTGAAGTAAAACTACAAAGGAATGCCCTTAGTGTGATTGAAGCACCCACCGGTAATGAGGAAGATGATGAACTTGAATTCGAAAATGCGCAGTGGAATGGATCAGATATGGGTGAGTTTGATCTTTAAGTTCCTTCTAGCCCAAAACAAATGTATGGCCATTCCTCTACCTTTTTACTCTGTTTTCTTAGAAACTTTTGAAGCTCATTTGTTGGTTGAAGAGGGTTTTACTGCTCCTGACCATCCTGTCCATACTGGCTAGCATTAAGAGGTGTGGCCTATTGTAAGTCTGTTTCACTATAAAATATTATAGACTGGCGCTTATTAATTTTTTCCTACTTACTGTGGAACACAGTAGAGTAATTAACTACTTCACATTCTGATCGTACACTCAGCAGTGCTAATCATTTATTGTATGGTATTATGTGTTTCTAATCACCTTGGTGGTCCATGAATTGGGAATGGGGTGTGCGGTTAAAGGATGGGGGAGTGAGGAATCCAATTCAAGTACGTCGACACTAGAGCCGGTCTCATGTGCTCATATCCGATGATATGATATTTCAATTAACTGTTTTCTTTCTGTACCATGCCCGTGGGTTTAGAAAGTAGTGTAGGTTGGTACATTGGATCCATTATGCCTTCACCTTTCTTTTTTGCTATTTCTAAAAGCTCTTGCGTCTTTATCTCTTTGTTGGTCCCACCATTATTTCTGATTTTGTTTGAGCCACCTTAATTTCTCAGCATCGGATGACACTCAAAAGTCCCACAAATCGAGGCACAGAATGCAAAGATCATTGGGATCATCTCACAAGACTGTCAGCAGGTCCCTCTCGGGTGATTCACAGACGAATGGATCCATTTCTACACCTCAGCGGTCCACTGTAAATCACTTTAACGTTTACTTTTCTTGTATTATTTACTTGGCCGTGTTGTTACATTGTAAAGATTTTGTTATTACTACAACTATTAACGTAAATTTGAATATTTCTTTGCAGAAGGTTGATTTGAGCAAACTGGAAATGGCTGCATTGTGGAGATACTGGCGACATTTTAATCTCGTAAATTCCTAGGCCCTTATTCTTGATGACTGTAACCCAGGAATGATACTTCTGTTGTACTGACATCTACAACGTACGTGTAGGTGTATTCCGCCCCAAACCCTTCAAAAGAACAGCTAATGGATGTTGTTGAGAGGCATTTCATGTCACAGGTACTCAGAAATAATAGCAGCATTCTCATCTCTCTGCCTTAACTGCTTGTCACCTGTCAGTTGAGTATTATTAGAAGATGAAAGTATATTATTATTTTGCTTGTGCAGCAAATGGACGAGTTGCAGGTGATTATGGGATTCGTCCAAGCTGCGAAGAGGCTGAAGACCATGTGCAAATGAAATGAGATGAATTAAAATGATGAGAATTACATATAATAGCTTAATATTGCATATGCTGACACGGATAATGGGACCTATTTATCTATGTTCGCTTCCCTACCTGCCTGCCATGTAACATATATGTATGTGGTTTGTATGTTTCTCATCTGTGTAAGATGTAGGTCAATATGAGTAGCTATAGAGGCTTTTTTCCCCCTCTTTTGTTGGATAGCCTTGTTATGTAAATATGTCATCCTGGGGACGACTGGATGGTTAGGGAAGTCTTAATGACTATTTTCTCCGTGATTCATTCATTGTGTCGCTAACCTGGAAGTAGCTCTCGTCTGCTTTATCCGAACGTATGTCTTCTTCTCCCGCCTCTCCACTAGCTCAATGCAGGCTTTTTAAAATGAAAGCATCGTTTGGTCCTCCATTGGACGGGAGAATTAACAGATTAAAAAAATACATATCAATTCTTTTTTCCATTATTCACGTTATTAGTTATTCATTTCACAGTGGAGAAGGAGCGTTCAAACATTATCATTTGTGGTCCCGTTCCCAAACAGGCGGTAACCATCTATTTTTATTTTTATTTTTCATGCTTGTGGAAGCAGTGGGGCGTAGAGAAAGAACCAAATAAAAGGGCACCCAGTGAGCAAGCTTGATGAGAGAGAAAATTGAGAATTTGACTGGGACTTTGGAATGGCGCCAACTGGGAGTGGGTGGTGAGGACGCTGGAGAGTGTCAACGTCAGGGGATTTTAAGATCAAAGGGGGGCCCACTCGTTGTTTTGGAGGCATCCTGAGACAGGGCTACGAGCCTGCCAAAATATCAGCGCCCCTCTCTGAAACTGCTTTAACACACCAACGGTCTCGTCGCCAGTTGGGCTGTGGTTGCGCCTCCCCATCAGTATTCAAGAACTCACCAAGGCATCTTATCTCCATCCACACCATAATTTTCAAACTTCAACAATTAAATCATGAGGCCGTGACAGAGATAGGAGATAAGTTGAAGGTGACAGATTAACCATGTAAATTGATATCTTTATTATTCAAACAATCAAAACCAGCCTTCGTTACTTCAACAAAGTTGGCACGATCTTTATCATACAAGATCTGGATCCTTGCAAGAGCTTCCCTTTCTGCATGTTTTAGAATCAAGGACTGTTTCTGGAATCTGTCCTTGTTTACAGTGTGGCTTGTATCATCACCAGCTAGATGTAGGGTTGTAGCCTTGTAGGTACCCCATGTGGTCCTGATCTCCAGCCAACAGTTTTGTGGTAAAAGAGGCAGGGTTCGGATAAGCCGTCAATTAATTATAGACCTACACGCTATTGAAATAAGAAGAAAAAGTAAGGTTATAGTTGACGCCTAAAGTTTCATTTGTAGGGGAATTTCCAGCAGACAAAGAGAAATAAACTGTTTTATATGGAAAAGGTGGTGTGGGAACTAGGAATCGTCTCCTGTGAAGGAAACGAAGAAAAGATGAGATGATAATGGAATGGTTAATGCCTGTGGTTGTGGGTTGGATTGAAAATGAAAAGTAGTAGCAGCAAGAATAAGAAATGATAAAAGCAAATTTTGAAGGGGCAAAAAAAGTAGAAGAAAGAGTGTGAAACGGGCGGAGAAGACAGCGCCGTTGGACATTTAATAGGTATCCCCACAAAAACAGAAACAAACGAGACACGCCAATAAAGTTAGGTGTGGGTTTGCTGCTTCTTTTGACATTGCTCTCTCTCTCTCTCTCTCTCTCTCACCATGATTCATAAGTACATGCCCGCTCTGATTGTCGTATATGTGTTTGTATGTATACATGCCTTGTTGCTTGTAGGTGTAAGCTAAAAAATCTTAAAACTGAAGGGTGCTGTGTTTGTGAATGATAAGGATGAGTAGCTTTCAACCGTGGATTGAGAAAACTCTAATTCATGTTCTCTTGTCTATTCCGCCCGCAAGGCCCTTCCCTGCGCATCCTCCTTCTACTAATGCCCTGCCCCACGCTACCCTCCGCTGCTTCTTTTCATTTGCAACACAATAAATAGAATGTTTTTGAGTTCTCCACGACTTATATTAACTCTGTTATTTAATATAAGAGCTAATTCATTAATTTGAATAAATTTAAAAAATTAGTTAAGTTAGTTATTTATAATAAATATATGTTATCTTTCCTAAAATATTTTTGTTAATCAAACATATTGACTGGAACTACTAATATTATAAGGATTATTTTGAAATAAATAAATAAATATATAAAGCAAAATGATTAGGGTCTTAAATTTAATACTAAAATAAAAGTCAAACAAGATCTTATATTAAGGAGATGAGGTAAGACATGTGAATCTCAAATAAAATATGAATCTCTCTCTCTTTGGGGCAAAAGACGATGTAAAAGATGATAAGATAGTTTTAAACCCTGCTTATCCAAATCATCGCTGTAAAATATGAGATTTGGATGCCGTCAAATCCATCAAGTGGACCCTACGTGTTTTGCATCGCACTCCCCGGCTAAGATTAACTTGGGCTTTGTTTCATTGTAAGTATAACATTGGGCTTTATCTGGCCCACATCATGCTTCGATCTCCAAAGTTTTCTTCAATTGGACCCGCCCTTCTTCACTGTAAATGGCCCGCCACGCAAGCCCCATCCCATGTGCTTCTCCATATTATATTCTGTGTGACAAGAGTGAACCATGGTGACCACAGTTTGAGTTGCTGTTGTTGGAAGACTTATTTATATTTAGAGCGTGACAATGTTTTGAATAGGATTTCTTTTAATTGGAAGATACATTTTAGCATATAAAAAAAAAGAAGAGTGAAACATGGTGATCAATAGGATTGAATCTAGTAGAAAAAGTCAATTCCTCACAAAATAACTAATCAAGATTCAAATTCTCACTCGAAAAGATACTCACATTTAATGAATAATGTCTTAAATAGGATTATCTTTAATAGAAAGATCTTTATGATCAGGGTGAGCCGTGGTGGATGAAAAATTGCAGGACAAAAAAGTTTTGGATCGTGATAGCATATGCAATACAGACCCCTTTTGTCTTTTGAATTCCACAATTGTTTCGGCTTTGCTTACTTTGACACGCTTTCTGAAGCAGCACCAACCAATGTCCTTTGCTGACTGAATCCAATATTTTCCAAGAACACCGAATCACATCATAAAACGACAAAACTGTTGATCAGTAGTCAAAGATTCCTTATAGGAACCTGGGTTTCTTTCCATTCACTCCATTCTGAAACGAGTTCCCAAAAGGTCGCCGAGTAGATGAGCCTAAAAAAGAAGAGCCACTATGAGCTGTACTGCTTTATGGCTTATAACCTTTTTTTTTCTTATTTTTTCTGAACCCATTTATTACGATTGTTTGTGCCTTGAGCCGACTGGACACCATTTTTAACCTGCTTTGTGTTGTTGCCACTGATGGCCCTATACAATCTGGTCAAAAGTTTCAACTCTTTCATTCCACGTATATATATGCAGTTGAAACTGGCTTTTGCGGCCACTGATTTGGCTCTTGGTTGATGGGAAGGCAATATGCGCAACACTATAATCAACTATTTCCAGGTACCTCCCAAATTGTGAAGAAAATTGCAGAGGCGAAGTTAAAAACAGTCACTACTAGACAGTCAAAATATAGGAACAAGTTGAGATGTGTGGACTTAATCCAAGAGATTGCTTCCCTACAGTCAACTTGTTTTCATTAAATGACTTCAACTTTGTGAATGAATCCATCATAAACGGCATCAGAAGATAGCCATATACACGCACTGCACAATGAAGCAGATTTCGGGGAGTAATTAAGAGAGCAAAACGACGAGATTTGTGTACGTTGTCCAATCTTCCAAGTTAACAGGATTACGCATATTCAGCAAACAAAAGTGTAATAAATAGCGTCAGATTATTAGATGCTCACAAAGTGGGGAATCCAAACCAAGTGTGACGTGATTAGTCTCTCAAATTGCATGACGTGTTGGACTAAACAAAACATATTGAACTTTGTTGTCTATCCAATTCAGACCCTTCACCAAAAGCCAACATACTTATAGCCTCAAACACCATTACTATTTTCATATTTGAGTCTTTCATGGAAGCCACCCATCAGGTGTGACATTGACAACTATTATATGTAATTTCAAATTTTTTGCTTTTAGTTCTGGGTCATAGAAAAGGGTTAATATGTTGCTGATCTCAGATGATCGGTGCCCTTTTAGTTTTATTTATACTCCTCCGGTCTTTAATATAAAACCCATTTAACTATTTGATTAGATTAAGAAAGATAAGTTAGTTAATTATAAGAAATGCGACATGTTTTTCCTAAAATACCATAATCATCTTTCTTAATACCCTCTCTTCCTCTTCTACTTGATATAGTTGAAGGAGTATCCATAAGGGTAATTTAGAGAAAATGATAAATATGAGAAACTGGTCTTATATTTAAAACCAAAACTAACTCAACAATTAGGTCCTATATTAAAATCAAAGGAGTACTAACTAATTAATATTAGTAGCAGTAGTTATTTGGGACTGGTGACAATGGGTATCAAATTAAAGTGAGCTCACCTGGCTGAACAATTATTTGCTTTGCTGCAAATTGAAACCGTCCATTGTGGATGGCCCCACGATCTTACATGACTTAGAACCCAATATGTTTGGATAACTCGGTGTCATTGTGCAATGAGGGCAGATTATTCATTAGAAATAAAGTATCACACAAAACATTATAAAAATACTTTAATAAATAATAGCTAAATATTAAAGAAAATAAATAAATTTCCTCGCATGTTCTTGCTGCAATAGTATTAAGAAAAACTCGGTCAACAAATACAATGGATTTTACATGTTGTTATTTTTCCATCCCTATTGTAAATACGATGCCATTATAAAACTCAGGTGCTGAAAGTTGAATTAGACATGAACGGAGGCAAGAGGTTCAAGCATTTTTTTTTTAAAATAAATATGGCTTCAAGCCTAATGAGATAAAGCAAATTATTTTTATATGTATTATGGTCGTTATTTAAATTTTGAAAGTACAAACACCCTTGTGAATTTTTATTTGAAATGCAATTTTGACGAGGGCAGCTATAAAACAAAAGAGGGCATGGAGAGGACAGGAATGAATGATGATGCTTGTGAAGACCCAGCCTGCGAGTGGGCTTACTTCCATTTCAGTGAGACCAAACTAAATTCAAGCATCGTGATCATATCATGGATCCGTATATGTTTCAAAGACCCAAAAGGGACCTTGCGTAATATGGGATGGGAGACTGTTTGGATGGTTGTGGGTGTTAGCGGGGGGCATATGCATGTGTTGTGCACGTGACAAAAAATTGGGCGTACTAGACTTCCACTGCCATTTGTGCTGCTGATTTATAACTTCTATAAAATTATTAATTTGATACATATATAAAATGTTCAATGCAAAAAAATTAGTAAAATATTATAAGGGTGAGTGTGTGGTGTTTATATACTCTTCCAGATCTTAATATAATATCCTTCCGATCCTTAATATAAAACTCATTTAACTAATTTGATTAGATTAAGAAAGTTAGGTAAGTTAGTTAATTATAAAAATGTGACATGTTTTTCTTCAAATACCATAATCATCTTTTTAATATCCTATTTTCTTCTTCTACTTGGTTTGATTGAGAGAGTATCTATAAGAGTAATTTAAAAAAATTGATAAATATAAAAAATAAGTCTTATATTTAAAATTAAAATTAACTTAACAACTAAATCTTACGTTAAGAACTGAAAGAGTATTAAAAGTTATAGAGCGGGGTTAAATTCTCGTTGTACACTAAAACACGCCACGACAAGTCACGTGGTTTTTGGCGCACTTTCTATTTTGACGATGATTGCGCCTAAGTTTTATTGTACCGGTTTGAATCACCCGTTATTTTCTTAACTTGAACTCTGAGTAGAGACCACTGCCTCCTCTTACTTTTAATAGAACATCTCGTTTGGTTTTTGTTTTTGTTTTAAATATAAAATCTTAATTTATTTTATCTCTTATATTTATTTATTTTTTTAAAATAGTTTTTATAATAATAGTTGTCCTAATCAATGCATTTGAATAGAAATACTACCTCCAGTCCTAATTATAAGAGCTAGTTGACTAATTTGAGGAGATTAGAAAAATAAGTTAAGTTAGTTATTTGTAATAAATATGTGTTGTCTTTTCTAAAACATTATTGCTAATCAAGTGTATTAGCTAGAACTACCATTATCAGAAGGACTACCTTGAAAAAAATACGTAAATATGAGAGGCAAAATGAGTTGGAGTCTTATAATTAGGATCAAAATAAAAATCAAACAGAACCTTATATTAAGGACCAAAGGTAGTAATATTTTAGAGAAGATAACACATATTTATTATAAATAACTAATTTAACTAACTTTTTTAATTTACTTAAATTAATTAACTAACTTTTATATTAAAATCAATACCATTACATCACACATATACGTGATTCATTAAGAATAAAAGCTGCTGTCCATCCGGTCCCTCTGGAATCTATATATAGCAGAACCTGAAAGCAGTGTGCAGGGAGGAGGAACGCCGTAGTGTTATGCACTCAGTTAATTCGACGAAACCGTGTTGGAGAAACAGTAATACCTGCTGGCTTATTAGTCATTCCTACCCACAAACTTCTTCGTTGAGAAATATTTTACTGACTTTTGTTATTTGACCCTCTTCCCCAAATAATTCTCATTTAATTTGCCTGGAGGCTGCTATTATCAGGGTGTATCGTTAAACTTCAAGATCTTTTTCTGCCCTTTCATAACCACCAAAATGTATATCATGAAAACTATCACAAATATGTTTTAAATAAACCGTGAGACAACTATGATCAGTATTATTTCGCGCGCACACGAAAGCCAGAAAAACTTGACATTTCACACACACACACACACATATTAATCAAAGGACACAGACCATTCAGGGTTATTTAAAGGAGGAAAATATAAATACGGATTAATAACACCATCATGCTCTTTGAAATAAAATATGTGATCTATATTCTCTTGGAAATATATAAGAAATTACGACGAAAGAAATAATAAAAAGATGCTATAAAAAAATAAAAAAGATTCTTCTCTCTTTCCCAAAAAAATGAAGATTCTTCTCTCTCCTCCCTCGAATCTGGACCTATATGTATAGGACCAAAACTTTCCTCACGCTCTCAGGATTCTTCTCTGATTCAATAATCAGAACCCTACCTCTCCCGCATCAATGGCGCTTCAAAAATCATTCACGAAGCGTCTCCTCGACGGTTTCAAAACATTCACAGCCATTTCCTCTCCCCCACCACCTCAATATTCCCCCACGGTTCCTCCGAATGCTTCCAAAACAAACATTCAAAGCCACTGCGCTACCCCGTCGGGATCCCCGCTTGACAGCGGCTTTTTCCGGCGGTTTCTCCACAGGAGAGTCGTGTGTCATCCCGGGCAGACAAGCACCCCTGATTTTCTGTCACTTCCCATGGGAGACGATCTCAGAGAGAAGCTGAAAAGCATCAGCGTTACCGGAGACTTTCGCGGCCTTATCCGGCCTCCACGCAACGCCGAGACACCGTACGGAATATCTGTGAAGGAGGCGAAGAAGATTCTGGGCGCATCGCAGCTCGAGAAGGTCAAAGCCAGACTAAGGGAAATCCCAAAGACATCCATTTCTTACTCTGAATATGTTGGGATCTGCGTTCAGGGGTGTGAGAATGAAGATCAAGGCGCGGAGTTCGCCAAGAAGTTGGATGAGTCCGGAAGCGTCATCGTTTTGGGAAACGTGGTATTTCTGCGACCCGAGCAGGTAATCAACGAACCATTATTGTGCTCTGTAACGCGGCAGGATTTTAAGAAAAACCCAGTGAGTAGTGAAGATGCCGTGATATGTGGGGTTTCAGGTGGTGAAAGCGATGGAGAGGCTGATATGTGAAACGATAGCGCATCCAGATGACAGAAGAAGGAAGGAGCTGGAGGAGATGGAGAAGCAGAAGGAGAAGATTGACGAGGAAGCGAAGGCGATGGTGTGGAGGGAGCTGTATGTGGGACTGGGTCTGATGATGGCGCAGACGATTGGGTTGATGAGGCTAACGTTCTGGGAGCTAAGCTGGGATGTGATGGAGCCAATATGCTTCTTCTTGACGTCGCTGCACGTGGCTCTGGCCTACCTCTTCTTCCTCAGGACTTCCACAGAGCCCACCTTCCAGGGCTACTTTCGGCGCCGATTTACTGTGAAGCAGCACAAGCTGATGCGATCTCACAATTTTGACGTCCATAAGTACAACCAACTCTGCAAGGCTTGCTATCCAATCAGCCAATGACTCAGCCCAAGTCGCAGCCCATGCTCGTCTTTCCCTTTACGAGGCGAATGCTTGCTCTAGTTTCACGCGTCAACTCGGTACACTTTGTTGGGCTTTGTACATAGTTCCCCTAAGGCCTTTTTTTTAATGGGTCACTCACTTGCGCCTTCTCAGCAACAATTCTCAAAAGTCAAAAGAGGATACGTTGAGTCTAACAGAATGAGTTTATCGATCGTAATATAACAAATTAATGTTTGAATCTACATTGAGAGAAAAGTACTCACATTTAGTACTCAACAGTATATTGAGCATGATTGTCTCCGATAGGAGGATACATATATCTAGGGAAAAAAAAGGGATGCGCTTGGTCAAATTTTACGGATAGATTAGATAGATTGGTTAAAACTTAACTAAAAAGGTAAAATAAATTTATTAGAGAATAAATGGCAATAATGTTGGGTATATTGGGTTGTGGTGGTGTACTGTCAGATAATGAAGAGGGACAAACTCAAACTCTTGCTCGCTCAATAGACGTCATTGGAGATCATAAGCCCCCGGTTATTACTTTGTTTGGGCCTGCTGAGCTTGCACCGCATCATGAATGGTTTTCTGTTCCAAATAGGATCACAAGTGGGTCTTGAAGTGGAGCCCGATTTTAAGTCGTCACTCCTTGTCAATGTAATTATTATGGATCAAACACCACGTCAGCCTCATCCTTTGTGTGTCTGACTAGTTTTATCACATCATTTATACTTTTTAATGGAATAGACTAATTTGAGTATTTTAAAAAAAAGTTTTTAAAATTAGTTATTTGTGTTGCTATGTGATCATTTGACTTTGTTTTATTATAAGTTCATGCGAGGATAAGTCAGACGGATAAGGTATAAGAGCCCATCCATGTTCAATCAGCCGTTACATTATGCTTTTACTATAATGGAGGGTCTCATGGATTCATATACTCATTCCATTAACAGATGTGACGACATGTTACACAGGAATAAAGATGTTCAAATGTTTTTCTCAAGATTTAATTGTTATTTCACTGATGCGACGTCATGTCAATATATTATCGTCTTGTAAGAAGGAAATTACTTAATTACCATTAAAAAAAAACAGTCTGAATACCCTCTACGGTGCACAGGGAATTATTCTAATTAATCGGAAGATGGCTGTGCTGGATGTTAATGTAGACGGGGTCAGGCATGGCGGGCTTGTTGCAAAATATTAGTATCAGATCAGATCAGACAAGGTCATAAAAATGAACAGCACAAATTAATGGTCGCGGATCATAGGAAGGCATCGATATTGTAACTAAACCACGACTCACTATATCTGTCTGTACTTTGCAATATTATTATTGACTTTGGCCTGGGCATCATTAAAAATTATGAGATTGATGCTGTCAATAATGACCCTCCATCTTTATTTTTCTTTCCTATAATGTGACGCCTCAACGACCTCTCATTGGCCCTTACGCTCTTATCCAAATTCCCAATCAACCCCAAAGTATCCTCATTATAGCACAAACCACTCACCATGCTCACACTCTGATTCCGTTCGTTCATGATCTGGCATGTAAATCTCCTATTTCACAATCCCTCCTTCCCTACCTATAAATATTAGACACTCGGATTTTTAAATCAAAATAACGTAAATTACATAATTTTTAGTAATAAACACCGATTACTTTGTAAACCTTTTTAAAACCAGATAAGGCTGACAATGAAAATTAGACGAAACAGGAATAATGGAAAGGGTGACAGTGGAATCACGACCACGGAGAGAGGAAAGAGACAGGGGAAAAAAAAAAAAAAGAGTTGTTGAACCGTGCATCGTGAAGAAAACTATTAAGTGCTTTTATCCCCTTTGTATTTTAATGTATAATAATGATTTAACGTTCAAGAAAACTTAGGATGGAAGATTCTGTTCCCAGAAGGCAATATAATCAACAGTAGCTAGCTAAACCTACCAACCTGACGTCGAGAGTTATATACAATGGATTAGGCCTGCCATTGATATTGATAATACATTCAATTTTGTTTTAAATCGCGGGTCAAAGGGTTGAAAGTTGAACCTTAGGCCATTGGGCATAATTAACAATCATTTCTTAAAATTTTCTGGGCCTCATTTTGTGGCTTGGAATAATGCTAGAGTGAAGCTTTCTAATATTTGCATGGATCATTCGGATTTATACAGACATCTGCCTCTCCTGATAACGTCAAAGGCAGTGGAATTAGTATTCCAACTTTAAAACTTAAAACGTTGGATATGGTTGATGAATAGTGCAGAACCTGTTATACTGATCCACACTAAAATAATGGTGCCGTTTGGTAGAATGCCAATACCAATATTAGGTGGACGACATGCACCGCCTGAATTCCTTCCCGCCTACTGTTGAGCATCTCAGCTGTCTTATCTATCCTGGTCCCCAGTAAAATAGTACTATTTCTGATTCTTAATATAAAAACTAGTTAATTAATTTAAATATATTAAAATAGTTGGTTAGATTAGTTATTTGTAATAAATAGACATGATTTTTTTAAAATATCATTATTAATCATGTGTGTTTAAATTACCTATTGATAGTAACTCTTTAACATATATAATTGCTATAGAAATTACTTGACAGCAAAATAGATAAATATTAGAAATAAAGTAGATTAAAATCTTATATTTAAGATCAAGTTAAATGTTAAACTAATTCTTGTATTAAACACCGGAGGTAGTACATAAATAAATAAAATGGAGGAACATGGAAGGAAAAATAAAATGAAAGGTCTTATCTGCCCATCATCACACGCGTCCACCCTGGCTTTTAACCTGTACACTTTAGAACCATGGTGGAAACAACAGAAATTATGAGGTTCGTTTTAGGGCTGATTTGTTATAAAAAAAAAAAGGAACAGGATGGTAATGGACTTTGATATACTACTTCCGGTTCTAATTATAGGATTTCATTTATAGTTTATAAATGAAGTCTTATAATTAGAACCGGAGATAATAATTAGGATCGAAGGCAGTACTTAGAGTTGTTGGAAACAATTAAACCGATCATAAGCTTTTAGCTATTTTTTTTGAGTTATCTCAAATAGCTTGTCGGGAATAAGATTTTCCAACACATCCATCATGTATTCAACTTAAATTCTTCTATCGTCATTTTTCTCATACTCCAAGCCATTTTTTTTTAAAAAAATATCTAGCTCAACTTAAATAATTTTTTTTAATCCCAAACAAACTAGCCCTTCGCTTGGTAAATATGTTGTTTGTATTGTATTGCCGTTTTACAATAAACACGCATCTCTATTCATTGACAACTGTTTAGCATATGGTACAACAATAAACTATTTTGTATTGGGTTTATTGTTGGGTTCCAAATCAGCATGCTTCTTCTCCCGAGTTTTACATTGAAAATATCCAATATTCTTCTTATTCAACTCAACCAATATAAGATTAGGTGGCATGTAGATAGATGGATTTGGATTTCAATATAATTTTGGATTTATAATCTCAAGTTTAAAATCCACGTATTTAAAAAATTTCATTTGGAGAGTATAAAAAAATCCACGCCAATAATAATGAATTACCCAACTGAATTGACTTGTTCACGTATTTGGATGGTATTAAAGAAAAGTAAGGAGATTTAAAATAACTAATGTAAATATAAAAAGGTATTTGGAATTCTAGATGACTTGTAATGAAAAAATTTGATATATTAGAATCTACAAAATTTTTTGTATTCAGATAACATATTCAAGTCAAATCCTCTCTAATTCAAACACGATACTGAGAATTTAATTCTTCAAAACTTTGATCCAATCAACATAATTAGTGGCATTTTGTTGATCGACCCTAACTACAACCCTTTACACATAATGATGCTCCCTTGTCCTTTTCTGTCCTATTAATTTGCCGGTCAACGAGTTTAAATCGTTGGCCGAACCCTACAAAATCAATTTAAAATTGTTTAGGTGATCCTCCCTTGCTCGGCGTCGGGGCCCTTTCTTCTTTGTTTTCTTTTTCAAACCCATAATATAAATTATTACATGGGATGCAGATGTTTTATGATAAAGAAATAAAAGGATATTTGGATAGAAATCAAACTATAGTTTCAGAAGTGCTTTTACGGTTTACGAAATAAATATGTAGAGGAGTTTGTCTCGTTTTACGGAAAAATGCTTCTGAAATCATGATTTGGAGGTTGCCAAACACCCTCTAAATGCACATTGAATGATGAATAAAAATGAATGTACTGCACAATTATGATGTCATTTTTAAAAATATAAAAAGTTTTGAGAAATGAAAACTACGAGTGAAAATTAACCAATGGATATCCCCATCGATCCTATGCGAGCGTGTGTTTCCCATGAAATTGATGCACAAATGCAGTGAAAGAGACACAATTGTCTCTGTTGCTGAATTTTCATTACTTTGATGCACAGTTCATGCAGCCGGCATTATATTATTTATAAACGATAAAACTATCATTATCGATGTGGATGTTGTAATAAATTAATTTCTTATTACATGACGAGGAATCAGAATTGGAGTTTATTACAGCCAAAAAAAAAAATTATTAATCATCCTTCATGCATGTCCGGTAGAAAATGACATGGGCAACTCAATGATACAGCTTAGTCCCCCAGAAAAAAAAACTAAAAAAGAAAATCTAAAAATATATTCTATTTATTATATTTTTTTAGTTCTAAATAAAAGACATATAAATTATAGTATAAATTAAATTTTATATTTAAGATCATATGATTAAAAAATACGAGCCATCTTCACATAACTTCTAATACTTTCCTCTAATCTTCTTCTATGACCTAAATACTTTTATTTTAAACCGTTTGTCCCAGAATTTTCTGACCTGGAATCTAATTATATTATAAGAGCAGCCAAATAATGTTGCTAACATATTTAATTAAGGTCGATCTCCATTTTTGAGACTTTTTCCTTGCAACAAAGTATTGGTTGCTTCTACCAAAAAAAAGTGAAAAAAAAAATTGTGGTTGCAACTTGATATGGCTTATTACTTATTATATTCGAGTTGCGATGGTGAACCGAATTAAAAAAAAAAAAAAAAGGAAGCTGCCCGCCGATTTTCTACGTCTAATCATATGAAAATCATAAATATAAGTTCCAAAATTTACATTTGATCTTACGTTCATAATTTCGTAATTAACAAATAGCGTAATTTCTCTGGAAAAAATAATTTAATTTATCCTCAATATTATATTATATTTTAATTTTTTATTTAAATAGACAATAACGATTTAAAGTTATAAGTCAAATTTTTTGGGCTTGTCTTTTTTTGCCATAAAAAATTTTCATGCTACAGACTATAATTTGTTTGGTATTTTTTTTTACATATTTATTTCATATTTCATAAAAAGTTATGGGTAAACTATTCTAAACCAACTCTACAAACCAATCAAACATCTGAGTTCTGTTTAAAAAATAAATTAATTATCTATCTAAACTTTGTTTTAACAATTCCCACTCAAAAAACAATATTTTTATTAAAATAATTATGAGACCTTCAACTAAATACCCCTGCTCGGAAAGATGGCAAAAAAATAAGAAGATTGTGGGTGGAAAGGTGGCTAACCTTGCAATTTGAGGCCAATATGAGGGGCATTTTAAAATTGCGCTTTGTCTATTTTTATACGCTGTCTTCCACCGAAAGAAGCACAGAGTGATTATATACTCTGTAAAACCCAAAAACGAGTGAAAAATAGCTTGGCCACCAGCTCCACTGCTTCTTTTTCTTTCTTCTGCTTTTCTTTCCCTTGCCTCGTCACTCCCCACTGTTATTCTTTTCCGCGGCTTATGGGGAACAGGGAGTGGAAAATATCGTGTAATAAGCCGAAGCCACTCTACAATAATAGCACTTCTTGAGAAATCTAAATCCTGCCTTTTCACTTGTATGTTGCACCAGTGTTAATTTCCTTCAAAATAAAGTCACTGTAGACCAAAGGGCCAATCCCCCGTTACTGCCCTTTTCCTATTGATATCTGAAGGAAGCTTTCCGACATGCATTAGAGCCACCGATCTTTTTGGGGTCATAAAGCCAATCAAAATCCCGGTGGAGATTTAATGGAAACAACCCTGTCTGCGGTTGTGTGTTTAACATTCCATTGAGGCAATGCTTCGGTGTAGTTCCTCTGTCCTTTCCTGGTTTAATTGTAAGCTTCGATTCGCCGTCCTAGTCTTCGAGGTAAGCTCGTTTAGTTTATCATCTGCATTCCTTCTTATTTTAATCTTTTCTTTTAGTTTAATGTTGCTATAATGTTTAAAGTTTAGGCCTTTTAAAATCATCTGCTGAACTATGGTCAGGTTCTAATTGCTCATCTTGGGGTGAACGAAAGAATAGAACAATGTATATTTTTCTGGGCTTTTATTTCTCTTTCCCGCAATTGGGGAATGAATCAGACGCTTATCTCTGATTTAGGATAAGGGCTTGTCCCCCCCCCCCCCCGGGGGGGTTTCATTAGTCCGGTTACTGCACCCTCAAGTTCAGGTTTTGTTTAGAAGAACAGTGCTTAATCTGGAAGGTGCTGGATTAGTAATTTATGTTTCTATGATTTCGAAGATTTTTTTTCCCCTTCAATCTTTAGCTTTTCTTTCGTTTGCGCAATACCTATCAGGTATTGCCTTTAATACACGCTGTTCGGTGTCATATCTCTGGATATAGTCACAGAATATCCATTGCTTGTGTTTTCTCTTTGGTTTAAAAAAGCTTGATTTTGTTCAGTTTCCCCCAAAAATATGGCTTAATTTTGAAATTCTGCTGATTCAAGCTTTGGCTTTTGGATGTCGTAGCTCTATGATGAACTTAATCGAAAGAAATTTCGTTAATCCTAGAAAATAATGACTGCGCCTTCTTACTAAGTTTTGCGGAGGTGACATCGTTAAAATTTTTTCTGTGTTGTATTAGCTAGTGTTTTTAGATAGGTGTTCAATTTGATGTACTCTGCCTGCATGCAAAAATAGGGATGAAAAGGGAAAAGTTTTGGTTTTCACGCTTTACCAAATTCACTCTATATAAAGAACTAGACAATTTGATTTCTCAGCTGGTCGTTATATGTTGTTAAACTTCCACTTCCTGCTTCAGATTGTATTGTTACTTGCATTGTTGGAACCTAATGATGCAAAACCCCGAGAATACCAACTTCAAATGGGAGGCTTGGAAAAGAACATTGCCTCACACTCTTGCATACATGATCAGATAATTGAACAGAGAAAGCGACCTGGTCGCAAGGTTTACTCAGTTACCCCGCAGGCTTACGAACCTGGTTACATGAAACCCCTTCATCGTAAAGGTAGGGCATTACTTGGAGTGTCAACATCATCAGGTCTTCAAAAAGATGCCAAACAACCTATTAGAATATATCTCAATTATGATGCTGTTGGCCACTCGCCAGACAGAGATTGCCGAAAAGTTGGTGATATTGTCAAAGTGAGTGTTTAGTATGAAGAAAAAGGCCTTTTTAGATTTCTTATGTCCTATTTGTATTCAATCTCATCCTGTTTGTTGATTTTAATCCATATTTTTATTTGAACAGCTTGGGGAGCCTCCCGTGACTTCATTTCCTGGGCACCCCTCCTGTAATCCCCATGGTAATCCTCCAATATTTGGTGATTGTTGGTATAACTGCACTTCCGAAGATATCACAGGAGATGACAAAAAGCATCGCCTTCATAAGGTCTCATTGAGAGTCCTGTTAGATTTATATAATTTGAATTAGTTGCAGATAAAGATTGAACAAAGATATTTACCCCATGAAAGCAACCTATTGCAGGCATTGGGTCAGACAGCTGATTGGTTTAAGAGAGCATTGGCTGTTGAGCCTGTCAAGGGAAACTTGCGTCTAAGTGGATATTCTGCATGTGGGCAAGATGGAGGTGTGCAGCTTCCTCGTGAATATGTTGAAGGTATAATTAATTAGTCATCTCCCTTATGAGGACATTGTACTTTTAATAAAATTTCATCCCATAATTTTACTTGCAAATTTGATAATTCACCTATTTGTTCACCTTTCCCAGAGGGTGTTTTAGATGCGGACTTAGTTCTCCTAGTCACTACAAGACCTACCACTGGGAATACTCTTGCATGGGCAGTGGCTTGTGAACGTGATCAATGGGGCCGTGCCATAGCTGGTAGACTATCTTGAATCTTATCTTAGTTTGCGTTCTCATCCTTACCTTGCATTTGGGCGGCTTTGGAATTGAAGTTTCCTGTGTTTGCAGGACATGTAAATGTTGCTCCTCGCCATTTGACAGCTGAGTCTGAGACTTTGCTTTCGGCTACCCTCATACATGAGGTTGGTTGGGTTTTCAAATAATGAAATTGGAAATCTTGGAGACACTGTTGATTAGATTTGATCTTTTCCAGGTTATGCATGTTCTTGGTTTTGATCCACATGCCTTTGCTCATTTTAGAGATGAAAGGAAAAGACGGCGTAATCTGGTATGATGGCCTGCTGTGCTAAGACTCATCTGTTTAGAGTACTATCATTATGTCCTTGTACTTGTACCGCTTGTTCTGAAACCAAACCTTCTCTTGAAGTTTGGCAGTTTGATGGCTGGGTAGTTTAATGTGAGCCTAGCTAAATTTGAGATCCTGAACATTGGTTAATTCTTTTAATTTGTTATTATCAGCACTATAACGGTTTTTTATTAGATTTTGACAATTTCTTGAGTTTTCTAATCAATTCATTGTAGCAAACGTTTGTTTTTGCGTCATTCCTTTTTATGTTGGGCATTTTATTGGATCTATTTTGAAGCTCAAAACTACTTGTTGTCCTTGCAGGTTATTAAACAAGTCATGGATGAAAAGCTTGGGCGAATGGTAACGCGTGTGGTGCTTCCACGTGTTGTCATGCATTCACGACATCATTATGGGGTATTTGCTTTGGAATATTTTCCCTTTGTATTTTATTGGTGCCATATTTATTGTTTTAATATTCGTAGTATAATTGTAAATTGTGCGTATAATGCAATTTTTAGCATCAAGACCCTGAAGTGCTGTAGTGCGTAGCGCATAACAAAATATAATGGATCTTTTAATATGTACAGAAAACCTAACTCACGTACGGAAAACCTCTTAACAATTTAACAATCCTCTGAAAAACACAACATCAAGTACGTCATAGGTTTTGAGCCTTAGCTATATCCCAAGGCATCTAAACCAATTTGTCTTCATCAAATGCAACACCATCATAATGAGCATTATTGTGCAACCTTCATTTTTCTCTTCTCTCTCTATATATACACCTCCTACCATGAATGAAACAAGAATTTTCAGTGCAATCATTTTTCTCAAAATATTCAACAACTTGATTGGTATTCTTAATTAGAGCTTTCACAAATGATTGAGTTCTTTGATGATAGGCATTCTCTGAAAATTTCACTGGTTTGGAGCTGGAAGATGGGGGAGGGCGTGGAACATCAGGTTTTTCTCCTTTGTTAATCATTTTTTGCCAAGTTCTAAATGTGACTACTCTAGTGTTTTCTTTCTTTCTTCAGAATACTATGACTATAGTTGTTTATATATGCGGCTACTCAGGCTGTTGATAAAGATCAGTTTTTACTAATGTAATGGCTTTTTTATTTAAAAAAAAATTGCATTTTACTTTCTTTCTTTCTTTTTTTACATTTCTTTCCTTTATTTTCCCCTCAAGTTTTTAATAATTAAGATTGCTAGTGCCCAATGAATGTGATCACTATGTCATGCTTACAAGGTATTTGCAGGTGTGATCAGAATGTAACTATTGAAAATTTACATATAATCTGAAATTTAGTGATTAAAAGATTTTTCCCCGTTATGGTGAAAAACAAAATAAAGTACTGGCCTGCCATCTTTGCTCCTTTAGAATCCTGCCAGGAGGTACCAAAAAGTTTGAATAAAAAAACATAGCAACTATTGTCTAGTGGGAACACCGTGTTTAATGTCTTTGAACTTGTACTCCTGGCGCCCACTGACAAAGTTAAGAGATGTATTATTTTGCCAACAGGATCTCACTGGGAAAAAAGGCTTATGATGAATGAGATTATGACTGGTTCTGTGGATACAAGATCTATAGTGTCAAAAATGACTCTAGCTCTCTTAGAAGACAGCGGATGGTACCGTGCCAATTATAGCATGGCAGACCGTCTTGACTGGGGTCGCAACCAAGGTACTGAATTTGTTACTTCCCCTTGCAATTTCTGGAAGGGGGCCTATCACTGCAACAAAACACAGTTGTCTGGTTGCACGTATAACAGGGAGGCAGAGGGATACTGCCCAATTGTAACATACAGTGGAGACCTGCCTCAGTGGGCTCAATATTTTCCACAAGTTAATGAAGGTATGTCGTTATGCCTTCATATCCATGAAGGTTGATTGATTTTAATCCATTAAATGCTAAACGATGCCTCATTTTCTCTATCATCATCCTATGGCTGTTTTCTTCACTGCTGATTATCAAGCGATTAATTTACATCTCATGCCATTGCCTTGTAATTCATATGTAGGTTCTATTACTAGAGTTTGAGTACACAACAAAGATTTCTTTAGTTTTCACTATTATTGGTTTTCAACATAAGCAGTCTGTAGTTATTGTCAATCAGCAAACTCAATTAGCGGTAAGTTTTGGTGACTTGTTCACTGATCATTGCAGGTGGACAGTCTTCATTGGCTGATTATTGCACTTATTTTGTCGCATATTCAGATGGGTCTTGTACAGATGTCAATAGTGCACGCGCACCTGATCGAATGCTGGGTGAAGTTCGAGGGAGCAACTCTAGGTCAGATTTGTGACTGTTAGCTCGCAACTTTAGTCTGCTTTGCATTGAGTGTTTAAAGGCATGGAGTTTCTAGTTAATTTCCCTTTTAATGCAGGTGTATGGCCTCTACTTTAGTACGGACAGGATTTGTGCGAGGTTCTATGACCCAAGGAAATGGTTGTTATCAACATAGGTGTGCCAATAATTCTTTAGAGGTATGATTGACTTGGGATTGTCGAGAGAGTAAAATATTCTGATTCATTCAACCCTACGTTTAATTTAGCCGATGATGGTAATTGAGTAACCTTTTTATGATACTCATTTCTTCATGAAGCCTAGGGAAGCTGAATCCTGGGCTGCATCCCCCCCCCCCCGCCCAAAAAAAAAAAAAAAAACTATAGTCAACCTCCAACTTTTTCCTTTTTGGCTGAAATAGTTGCTAAACGTAGTTCTGTTGTGTGACCAACAGGTTGCAGTGGATGGCATCTGGAAAGTATGTCCTCAAGTCGGTGGACCCATTCAGTTCCCCAGCTTTAATGGTTAATATTATTGTTTTATTTATTATTTTTATTTTTTCATTTTTTTTAATTGTATGTTTTTTCAGTAGTGTTTGGCTGTTGGTTTCTCAGTAAATTGACACCTTACTCTATAAAATTATTTATCCGTAGGTGAATTAATTTGCCCTGCATACCATGAACTCTGTAGCACAGATACAATTGCGATGCCTGGGCAATGTCCTAATGCATGTAATTTCAATGGAGATTGCATTGATGGAAGTTGCCACTGCTTTATTGGATTTCATGGTCATGACTGTGGCAAACGTGAGCTCTCATGTCCTGCTTTGTTGTTTAACTTCTGTATTCATTGTGCCTTGACTCTCTATATGGAAACTACGTACTTCTTGTTTTTTAAAATAGGTTCTTTTTTACCTTGACGTATGAACCTAGTGTTCCGGCTTTAAATGCTGGAACCAATATAAATCCTTTTGCTTGATCCCCTTTCAGGATCCTGCCCCAGCAATTGCAATGGTAACGGCAAGTGTCTCACCAATGGGATTTGTGAATGCAAAAATGGTTATACTGGCATCGACTGTTCAACTGGTATGTAATAATGAGTTTTGAAGAGAACATGGTGATTGCAAATGTCTTCAATCTCATAATTAATTACCAAGAGAATTGCAAATATGTATGGTATGTGAAGGGTGGGCTTTTGAAGAAGCTTTTGAAGAATGTTATTCCATATGATATGAAGCGAATTATATCCAGTAACTGATAGTTGAGTCTTTTCAGGATAATTAACTTGGATCCCTTTTATTTAGTTTAACAGAGGCAGGAAAATAAAATCAGTCTTGTTGAACAACGATTTTACTCTGGAACAGCATTTACTCAATTCTTGTACTGCAAACATTTTTTGATTTTTTTTTTTTTCACCTCTCCCTGCTGTCACATATATGCAGCTGCTTGTGATGAGCAATGTAGCCTTCATGGTGGGGTTTGTGATAACGGAGTTTGTGAATTCCGTTGTTCTGACTATGCGGGATACACATGCCAGAACAGCTCTATGCTCCTATCAAGTCTCTCGGTTTGCAAAAATGTTCTGGGAAATGATTTGTCTGGACAGCATTGTGCTCCTAGTGAACCAAGTGTACTACAGCAGTTAGAAGAAGTGGTTGTCATGCCTAACTACCACCGCTTATTCCCAGGTGGTGCTAGGAAATTATTTAATATATTTGGCGGCACTTACTGCAATGAAGCTGCTAAGCGGCTTGCCTGCTGGGTACGATCTGTTTTATCTAATGAAAACATTTGTTCAGATTTTTTTTAATCCCTTTGTAATTTGATTTTATTCTATTTACTTGCATTCAGCTTGAAATTAACAATTTGTTTTGATTTTATCTGTCTGCCAATGTGGCTCTTGAACTGCAACACTTTTTAACATAACAGCTGAAGAACTTAGTACTTGATATGCAGATATCAATACAGAAGTGTGACAAGGACGGAGACAACAGGCTCCGAGTATGTCATTCAGCATGTCAGTTGTATAATTTAGCATGTGGAGCTTCGCTTGACTGCTCTGACCAAACTCTCTTCAGCAGCGAGGGGGAAGGTGAGGGTCAGTGCACCGGTGCCGGTCAGATGAAGTTGCCGTGGTATAATCGCCTGCGAACTGGTTTTTCTCTGAGAGATAGTTCCTTGATGGAATATCTGTAAGATATAGGTTAGTTTTTAGTTGTCAATTGATTTTCCTCTGTTGGGAGGTGTTGGCCTGTAATTTCTCTTCAGGGTTAATTTAGGGAAAAGTGGCCTATAGCTCCTTGGATTTAGAGTTATAGTAGGAAAATAGGTGAGTAGGTTACATTTGGGCTTCCAAAGAGGAGAGCCTTCTGTAGAGGAAATTGGAAATGTATGTAAACCAAAAAAAAAAATGAAAAAGGAAAAGTGCAGGAGGGGAAGAAGGAGGAAAAAGAAAGAGTGGGAGATTGTTATGATGTCATCAGCTTCGGCCGAAGGCCTTGAAAAGGAAAAAGCAACAAAAAGTTTCAAAGCAAGCTTGATTTCTCTCTGTGTAAATTGTTTTTTTTGGTCAGAGAAGAGGGCCCAAGCCCAGAAAAACCTGGGTAAATCATTTTTGATCCTGTGCTTTTTTGCCAATTTTTCTTTTTGTTCCTGTGTTGACTTTTTATCCTATCGAGATTATGTCCAACACGTGAAAAGGGCAATCTCACGGATTCGGACGTACCCACGTAATTTAACGATGCATGGAGCTCGAGCTTTTCGGGGGAAGCGTAAAAAAAGAAAGAAAGTAATCATAGAAAATGAACAGGAAAAAGGTCTGATCATGGAGGAGACCTAATGGTCTTTCTGGGCTTTGTTTGTGTGACTTTGAAGGCGGCCTAAATTACTCTTGTACGTCGAGGATGTAAGTAACTGGAAAGATAAATCTGTTAATTTAAGCGTAAAGCCAATTCCATTACTGCACGGGATGCAATATAAAATAAAAGAATGCTGCGCAATAAAAAGCAAAACTAATAAAATAATTAACGAAAAAATTAACACCAGCATGGCTCAATATGCAAATTGATCCTTAATTGCTCAAGTCGGAAAAAATAATTTTTCCAATATAGGTGCATACTGCACTGAGCATCGAAGATTTGAATTATAACTTCTTTTTTTAACTGTAATTTGGAAGTTCTCAAATTGTAATATCATCGCAAATGTGAATACAGAAGAGCACTTTGCTAGGAGGATCCGGATGGGCAAAATGTGATGACATAATCGGCGCCGGAGCACGTGCAAGTGCTCGATGGGTCGTCGTATGCGTAACTGTAGGCCGTTGGGCAAGCCTTCTTGAACAGCTGAGAGTATTGCGTCGGCCCACAAGTCTCAGGTGTTGAATGGTCGCCGATACAGCAGAACTCCGCCGTGTTAAACGCCGCGCAGGCGCTCTTACACGCCACCACCGAATTCCCGTCCTTCACCTGCAACTCTTCCGGACACAGGCTGCTCAGGTCCGCGACGCACCCCGCATACTGGCAATCACCGGTTCCTCTGATTGCCCGCACGCCCACCTCCACATTGTAACCGTCCACCAAGCTCACGTCGTAGAAATCCTTGTCGCTGCTGGACGTTGCGAGGGTGAACTCCGCCAACGTCACCGGGGCAGCACCTCCGAAGCGGCATTGCAGTCCACCGCAGTCTCCGGTAAGGCATCTTCCTTGACCGGCGCCATCGAAGTGGCAGCCGGTTCGAGCCCAGAAGCGCCCGGACCAACCGGGTGGAGCGACGAGAGAAACAGATAATCCCGGTGCCAAGGAGAATCCGCCGTCGCCGAGAATTGCAACACCGTTGCCGGAAAGAGTTCCGGGCCACAATGTATAGTTGCACCGGTTTTCAAGTTGGAAGTAAGTGGCGGATTCTACATCTACAAAACCTGCAACTGCAAAACCGTACGAAAATTGAAAATATCGGTTAGAAAGAAGGAAAAAGAGCATCGGAATTGGATAAAAGATGGAAGCAAAAAGTAGCTCTGTAAATAATGTGAATGAATGAGGGAGGTACCAAAAAGGAGGAGGAGAAGCAGTGGAGATGTAAAAGCCATTCGAAAGAAGGAAATGCAAAGATGAAGTGTTGTGGTTTAGATATGAAGATTTAATTTACGGGTGTTTATATTGGAGTGAGCAAGAGTTTGATTTTCTTGTTTAATTATGAAAAATGAGGTGGTATCTTTACGTGACCAGTTTTAAGATTGAGGGTCATCTTGGGATGGGAACTGGGCTGCTCATCTCATCAGCTCATTTGCGCCCTCCACCCCCCAAAAAAAGTTTTTTATACTCGAGACATGTTAAAAAAAATCCCAACATTTGTCCCTCATGACATGCGAGTTTAATATGAATTTTGTGCTGTCACATCCTGGGGTCAGTTCACAGCGCGCGCGCGCACACACCTTGTTTAATTATTCCTTTGTACCGTGCATGGATGCACAAAACCCATTTAGAATGATTTATGAATAATTTTTTAATTGTGACTTACTGAATAAGAAGTAAACAGATGTGAGAGAGTTTTATTTTGATTTATATAAAATGTATTTATAAGTTTGTTTGACAAGCAATAAGTTATTTCTTAGTGTTGTGTGAAAGCGCCGAGTTTGAATAGGAAACAGCATTGGAGGCTAGCAATTAACAACAAACTTCTAGAAAGATTGAGTTGTTTTTTTTGGGGGGGGGGGGGAATCAATGTACGCTTAATGTCATCTCGTTTATATTTTGATTTGAATATAGGCTTATTGCCATTTTTCCTCAATAGAAAACTCATTATATTCTTGCCGTGTTCTTTTCCAATTTCCATCCCTATCGTGGTAAGATTTTAATATTCTCATGATTACAATCAGATTGTGCTTCAAATTCTTATGACCAGTTATTTTATTCATTATCTTCACATGAAATCTATCTTAGCACCATTGACCGGTGAGATATATTATTTGTTGGCCAAATTAATAACTTTTAACCCTTTTTTAGAAGCAACATAAATATATACTCCTCCGGTCCTTAATATAAGACCCATTTAACTAATTTGATTACATTAAGAAAGTTAGGTAAGTTGGTTAATTATAGAAAAAGTGACATATTTTTCCTAAAACACCATAATCATCTTTCTTAATACCCAATCTCTCTCTTCTATTTGATTATGGTTGAGGAAGTATCCATAGGGGTAATTTAGAGAAATTTGATAAATATGAAAAATAGGTCTTATATTTAAAACCAAAACCAACTCAACAATTGAGTCCTATATTAAGGACCAGAGGAGTATATAGTTTTATGAAAATATATCGCCCCACGAAATATAAATAGGATTGATACAAACAACTAGCTAGATCCTAGCTAGATGCTTGCAGCATCTCCTCTTTCCGGGTGATGCTCTCGTTCGACAGCCTAAAGGCACCAGTGGCGTGTTCCAATTTTCATGTACGTGAACCATGTTGCTTTCAGCAAAGATAATTCATAACACATTTAATGAAGTTATATTATTCTCTTCTTATTCTCATGGAGATCTGAGACATTCAATGTGAACATTATTTTTCAGTAAAATTTCTCACTTGTTCCCAATGTTACATTTTCCTCGTTGAATTTTGCATGTTATCTCGTATTATTCCCTTTTAATTTCCAGTAATTAAATATTTCTTAAATACGTCTATTTTGTTGCTCTCAAACAAAAACCCTCCTGAGAATGTTTGGGGTTTGTTAATCAGTTGTTAAAAAAAATTACAAAGAAAAGAAAAGAAAAAAGCAACAATTGAAATGTCAAAAGAAATGGGTTCCATTTTCTTCTCAATCTAGTTCGTTTCTTTGATCTCTGTGTTTGGCTCCCTGCCGTGCGTGCTTTGTCAGCCGGAGACAGCTTCTCGTCCCATAATCGGTCGGGGTCGGAAGAATTACAAAACTTATAATAAATGTTCGCCCGTGCGAATGCAAATTAATGTGTTATATAATCGGAAGCACGGACGTTCAGAATTTGCAACCCATCACTTAAAGTCTTAAACCATGACCAGAACCTGCGGGTTCTGAACTAATAAGAAGGAAGAACACTGTTTATCTACAGTTGACGGGGATGGAGGAACTGGTCAAACTCCTCTTGCCAAGATACTCCGAAAAATTAAGGGCGGCGGAGAAACATCAAAGACTTGACTTTAGGTGAGGAGGGAAAGATCCAAGTCAACGATTTTTGTCTTTCTTCTCACTTGTGCGTTCCAAATTCCATTTTTGAAGATTCAGCGGAACGCGTTGCTCGCTTATCGGCGTCCTGCCCGCCCCACGATGCCGATCCAACGGTAACGGATCTCCGGCCATACGCTTTACCATAGAACCTCAAGAACAGTAAAAGAATCGCAGCATTCATCACAGCATTGAACACCCAAGCTCCAATCCCATTACACCCTCCTCTCAGGAAATGAAGTGCAAGTACCCCAGCATGTCCCACGAATGTAAAACCCAACAACAACATCTGGCAATTCACAGTGAACGTGAAGCACTTGGAGGGCAATCCGATTTCCGTCCAGAATCTGTACCCATACACTAAGGAGTAAACCAAAGTTGTGATGAGTATGGCCGATACCTGAAATGACTGGGAAAATTCGAGCCAGAGGAACGAGGTGAGCAGCAGGATGGAATGGTTGAACAGCCTGAAAAAGGATAGCTTCCGGTGACGAAGAATGGTGAAGATCGTTCGGAACAGGTGGAGGAAGCGAGAAAGGTAGAAAGCGTAGGACCAGAAGAAGACTGGTCCAGAGGGACGAATACCCAGTGGGAAACAGAGGACCCATTCGAAAGGCGTGGTTCTGGTTCGCCGCCATAACCACCGGGTGTTTCGAATTTCAGCATCAGCGGACAAGAGCATGCCGAGAAATATGATGAAAGAGATGATGGCCATGGCGAGGCTGTGGACGGCGGGGATAGGACCCAGTGGAACAGGACGACGGCGACGGCAGATCGTGAGGATAGCATGAAGAGTAGTAGCGGTGGCAATATAAGCAGAAATGGCGTTGATGATGAAGGACCAAGTGGAAAACCATAATTCGGTGGGGCTCCATCGGAATGATAGGATTAAAGGGTGCTCTGTTAACCAATATTTGAGGGTGTGTGTTACAGCAGGACTTGCCATTACATGTGAGAGTTTGCGATGAAAGAAGGAGACCCGGACTGTGATAGCTGAATCTCTTGCAAAATCTTAGAGGTTTTTCTAACTCTGTGTGGTATAAGAATGCGGGAAGTCTTCTAGAGGGGATGGAGTTTCGGGAAGGGCGGGTGTGAGTTGTATTCTTAGTTTTGACTGGAAAATTGTATCTGATATTTTCCAATTGAGAGGCTTGAATTTTTTGGGAGTTTTGTTTTGTTTATTTGATGAGGTGGAACGTTGTTTGAAAAATTAATAAACTGTTCCGAAATCCAATCCCATGCATTTTGCATGTTTTCTGTCCCAAGAATTGAGTATTAGTTATTTATTTTCCGCTGTTCATTGTCTTGTTTTGACGAATTAAATTTCTCTCCTTTCATACCTATATATTTCTCTTTCTTTTCTTGGGTGACGTCATCGTCTAGAAGAAAGAAGACAATTGAACAGATAAGGTTTTATGAGATGCTATCATATAATAAACGTGTAGTATTACAACCATAGTTTGTAAAACTGGACTGGACTGGTTGGATCAGATCAGAAACCGGCAAACCTACTACTTGTTTAGTCTGATTTAATGTCTAAATTGGAGGAAAAGCAACCTAACATAACTAGGAGTGAATCGATGCAAATCGGTCTTAACTCGGATAAACCGATGGGTTGGACGGGCTAGACGGATTATGATTTTTAATGTCTTGCTGAGGGAAAGTAGAAGATGAAAGATAAAGAAGAAGTAGAAAAAGAATTTAGCATCCAAATCATGTTTATCTCCTCACATAACAGCAAAAACCATCAACAACTTCAATAAAATAAAGCAAAATATAGATAGGAGATGGTGGAGGATAAAGAAGAATGGGAGGTGACAAAAAACCGATGAATCTGAGGCTGAAGATTTAATGAAATCATAAGAGGAAGTAACGTTATTGTTGAGATCTGAAAGCTCAGACTCACTGTCATAACATGGTGATAGAATTCGCGATGAGGGAGCCAGAGACAGAGAAGCTGGTGAGGCATCGTAGTTTTCTTTCCTCTTTTTACCAGGCGTTGGTGAATGTGTTTTAATTTTCAAATTAGACAGAGACTTTTCGGTTTGTATTCAACATAGTTAAATAAAATAAAATTTAAACAAAACCACACAATCATGTACTAAAACCAATATGACTTCATAAACCATTAAATGATCTCGGTATACTCATCTACTGGATATTCTTTTGATAGTACATGACTGTTTTGCCTCTTAGTAGCTGCTTAATCCTCCTACTCTACCTTTTTAAAAGGACACTTTGAAAACATTATAATTAAATTCGAATATCTTGATTAAATTATATTATTTGATTATAACTGGTCTAATTTCAAATTAACTCCTGTTTGAACCACTGACTCTTGACCTAGTGAATTAACCGATTCAGTATCCGGTCTAACTTTTAGTATTTTGATTACAGCTTGTAAATAAATGTTTAGAACGAAGATGAATTGGCTGAAAGTGGAAGTTGTATTTCTCCACTCAACTATATATTAGCATTAGGCCATTCATATTTGAATCAGCTCCATTTTTCCAAAAAGATTCTCTTTTGGATTGCTGCTTAGTTTGGATGCAAGGGATAAAGTTTCTTGAGACCTCAAAGCGTGCATAAAAGACCTCAAAAGAATCTAGTTACTCAGAAGTGGCTAAAAAATTTCCTGAGATAAATTTTTGTGAAAAGTATTTGCTTACCATCCATCTATCCCTCTACATAATAAGGAAAGTTGAGGTTGATGAAAGTCTTTGTGATTTATAAAATTATTATTATATTTTTTATAATAAAAGTTTTCATTTCTTAAAAATAAATATTACCTCCCGTCTTAATTATAAAATCTTGTTTGTAGACTATAAATAAGGTCTTATAATTAAAAATAAAAATAATAATTATTAATTATTAGATTTTCACTTATAGTTAATAATTAGGAAGCTAAAAGCTCAAAGCACAGATTTTGTCACTGCCTTAAGGTACCACTATGGCCCTTTTTTTTTTGGAATTAGGAAAGGAAGAAGCTGCTGCAAACCACCCACTACAACTCGAAAAAAGAAGCCGAGTTCGTGTCAGCCACCTGGATCAAATGAGGAGCACATCTGGCGGACTCTGCAGAATCCTCAAATCACGCATCAAGGTTCCGGCTTCCTTAGCAATAGCATCGGCAACTGCGTGGGCCTCCCTGCCCCTGTGACCCTTTTTAATTACTCCCTCCGTTTTTTATTATAAGAGATAAATAATCAAAGTACGTTGATCAAAAAAACAGTTAAAATTAGTTAATAACAATTAATATGTAAAAAGTATAATTTTTTCCCAAAAATACCCTCATTAATAAGGAGAGAGAGCATGAGAGAGAACCATTAAATTATTAAAAGAAAGAGAAGTGGAAGGGAGAGAGAGTGTGAGTTGGAGATAATAAATATGGGTAAAATAGTAAATCAACACAAAAAAGTAGAGACAACTTGTAAGTGTCTCTTATATATAGGAACATGCCATAAGCATCAAATGTCTCTTATAATAAGGAACAGATGGAGTATCACTTATAGAAAGGGATTTTTGTCATTTTTAATGCTTTATTTCTAATTCTATCTCTGATTCTAATTATAAGAGTCAGTTGACTGATCTGAGGAGATTAAGAAAGTAAGTTGAGTTAGTTATTTATCTTATGTGTTGTCTTTCTTAAAATATTCTTATTAATCAAGTGTATTGACTAGAATTATAATTATTAGAAGGACTATCTTGAAAAAAATTAAGTAAATATAAGAGACAAAATGGATTGGGGTATTATATTTAGAACTAAAATAAAATTCAAACTAGGTCTTATATTAATGACAGGAGGTAGTATTAAATAAGGAAGATAAATGTAAAAATAAAAGAGAAGAAATAAGAGGAAAAAATATACTAATTATTTAATAAGAATAAAAATAAAAAATTTTATGTATTTAATAATTTTCTTAATGTGTGAGAAATTATTATCAGTAATCCAGTGCAGTTTTCTATCCAGACCACTAATGTAGCGCCAGCTGGAATTATTCTCCGATTTTCTCGAAGAGTTCTCCATATGCTAAACCCAATGAATCACACACGTCCGGTCCATGGTAAAGGAATCTCGAAATCAATTTATTTTGTCGCTGTCGGTCACAATCTAAGAAATATTTTTACAAAAAAAATTTGTCTCCATTTACGGTATACTTTTTTTTTTTTGGACGGACTCCATTTACGGTATACTAAAGTGTCTCCATTTGAATAATACCGCCCACTTTTTGTGATTTGCGGGGATTCACCTTCTATTCTGGGATTCCAGGGTCGATTCGTCACTATCTTCTCCTCCAGGTCCGTAATTTATTTCTTTCTCCTCAATCTGTTTGCCCTTTCCTCAACGTCATTGCCCGCTTCCGATTCCGTCACTTCTCCTTGTAAAATTGATTATGATGATGAATCGATCTCTGGAATCGCGAGAATTCGTTGTGGACTAGGGTGTTCTTTTTTTCCCTTTTCTTCTTTTTTTTTTTGGGGGGGGGGTGTTCCTTGGTCATTAGAAATGGTTTTGATTCGGAAATACTACTATGACAACTAGCTTTTAAGCTCAAATGTTTTTGATAATATGAACGTGCATCTGTATGAATGTATGTGTATATGAAGGCTGTTATTTACAATCGGTTACGCTGGCTTTTGTAGGAATCTGAAGGTGATGGCAAGTGGGTTTGAGGAATCAACAAGCAGGTCGCCCCCAAGCCCTTCCTGCTCCAGCAACAGTAACAATGACACGGGCAGTTTTGAATGCAATATTTGCTTTGACTTGGCACAAGATCCTATAATTACTTTATGTGGTCATCTTTTCTGCTGGCCTTGTCTTTACAAATGGCTTCACTTTCATTCTCAATCACGAGAATGCCCAGTGTGCAAGGCCCTAGTTGAGGAGAAAAAGTTGGTCCCCTTGTATGGGAGAGGAAAGACATCAACGGACCCGAGATCAAAATCTTTTCCATGCGATAATATCCCTCATCGGCCAGCTGGTCAGAGACCTGAAACTGCCCCTTCACGAGAACCAAATCATTTTCCTCAACATGGATTTGGATTTATGGGTGGGTTGGGAGGGTTTTCCCCAATGGCAACAGCAAGATTTGGGAATTTCACATTGTCAGCAGCATTTGGTGGTTTTATACCATCCTTATTTAACTTCCAGTTGCATGGGTTTCATGGTGGGGCCTTGTATAGTGGAGCAGCTGGTTTTCCTTTTGGATATGCTACTTCATTTCATGGTGGCCATGCTCATGGGCACCCTCAGTATGCAGGTCAAGGACAACAAGATTACTACCTGAAGAGGCTGCTTCTGTTTGTTGTCTTTTGTGTCGTTCTTGCGTTTATTTGGCAATAGATTGGATAGAGCTGAGAGCCTGAGACTGCTAAAAGATAATTAGTATTTCTCACACCTTTTGTGTGTGTGTGTGTGTTTTCCTGGTGACGAAGGAAATTGTTTATATCATACTTTCTTATTACTCTTGTAGTGCTTTCGTTTTGAAAAATCTGTGAGACTTCATGCTTTTCTTGTGAAAATATCTAGAGTCCTAAGCAAGACGTCAGTTGCGGATGTGCCCTCTGTACACACTAATCAGGAGCTACTTTTTAAATCCACGAACTTTTGTGGTTTGGGGTTTTTACTCAGTCATTTTTACACTATCATTCGAGATGAATTTTCAAGCTTTATGTACTCATCACGTTGCTTGAATTTTAGAAGTACCCATTTATTTCGTTGCAATGGTTTGGAAGACAGAAAAATATTGGTGATAAGTACTGCGGCAATTATGTTTCTTGCGATAGTCTAGATTGCTTGTTTCACTTCAAATGTTGACAGTTGGATGACATGTGGAATCAGGCACCTTTGTTACTCGTTCTTTTAGCTTTTATAGTTATTTTTTCTCCAAATCCTTGGGGGTGGTTGGGTTGCTAGAGAGTTGAGGGGTTTTAATTTCTCAGTCTATTGTGAGCTGCTGCTTCTGCTTTATGGCCTTTGGACTCTGATTATATCAAATGATTATCATCGTTCATGATGGAAATACTCGAACTCTTGTTTTCTATAGAATTTTGTTCGTATTCTTGTTTAAATGCGATATAAAGCACTAACCTTGTGATTGTTAGTGTTCTTGATGAGCTTTCGAGGGGCTAGACTACGGTGACCAGAAACCCAGTGGGAAAAGAAACCCAGGTAAGTTGATTAGTGCGGTTCTCCCCATAGTCAGGCTGGCCTTGGTCACCACGTCTCAGGCGAATACGACCAGACGCTAGTGTAGTCATCAAACCCAGCCCAAATTTTGCCCAGTGTCAATTCCGCATTAATACGGTTAGGGCCGGGCCTCAGGCCCAAAGAACTTAGCTGAGGCGTTGATTGAACTGGCACATGGGCCAGGGTAATCCTCTGTTTTGTCCGGCAATGCACACCCCACCGGCGACGGCTTATTAATAAAGTTAAGTATTTTTAAAAAAGTTCAGTATTTGATTATTATGGGGTTAGTGTAATTTCCAATTTGATAATGACTATGTAATTTTGTCAACCAGCATGAAAACAAAAGCTGTTTTGTTCAATAATAGGTGTAGAATTGGGATCAGAGTGAGACGGGTTGCAAGCCAGGAATAATAATTTAGAAGTCTGCCATATGTAGCACATGGCTTGTGTAGGTAGCGGAAGTACTCTATTCCGCTGTGGGCCCACTCACCAGAACCCTCCCCCTCTCGCCTTCCGCATCTGTTTGATTGCTTTCATTCTTTGCCCCGCTTTGCGGTGTGGGATAAGTCCTTGTATTGGATACTTATAATTCTGTTTTGGAATCATATATTGGTACATGAACGAAGATTGAGAGCTGTGGAGGTTTGTAAATGCTGGTAATAAAAGAGAGTTAAATGGGAGAGTTGATCATCGTGGGATTTAAAAAATAGGTGTTTACTTGGACTGGTGTGAGAAGTGACTTATTCTATTATGTGTTTGGGAATGAGGCTGCCAAAATGGACTGAGAGTCTGAAACCGACATGGAATATTAATTAGTGTGAAGGGGTGCCAACTGTATACCGTATAGATTCCGTATGTAGACAGTTCCATTTTAATTTCTAATTAATGTGACTGCATGTGCACCCCCCCCCCTCTCTTTTTAAGATGCCCCCTCACCCCCCATCCTTTTCCCCCTTTTCTTCTCCCTCTCAATTTCGTATCTTATTTTACTCTCCTGGTCCTTTTTTTATCGTAGAAAGAAGATATTTTTTTGTTTTATTTATAAAGTATTGAGAAAAATGTTTTACATAGATGTACAATTTTACGTTTAATTTATTATTGTGTTGACTTTATTTACATAAGATATAATGTATATTAAATATAGATAAAGTTGGAAAGTTATTAAATTTTAAATGAGAGTTAATGAAATTTAAGGTTTTTCTTGAACTGTGTGAAACATTGAAAGTGACTTCTAAATAGGATGATGATAATATATATTTATATCATACCACTCTGAACTGATCTCCCCTCTTAATTCACCCCGACTCTGTTTTCATACTACTTCGAGTTATATTTATTAGATCTTTTAATCAAACTGCACAAATTAAAAAGAAGAAATAAAATGAGTTTATATTTTTATTTTGTCAAATATTGTCATGGCATTTTTAAAATAGTACCTTCATTACACTTAAACTCTGTGCCCAGTATATTTCTTTTAAGTAACATGGAGAAGATTATGATCTTGAAAAACGTGTTCGGGGAAAAAAATATTAGTAAATGATTATGTATTAAAGACAAAAATTTTCTTAAGCCAGTCTTACACATAGCAGAGAAAATAGTAATAAATTTTCACCCCTCACCTCCCCAGAAAAATTCATTCTGAATAGTGCCATATTTTCTAGAGTGAACTTGTCCTTTTTGACATATTGGTATACTTATTTATGATTAATAACTTCTATATATATTAATTATATGTGGAAAAGAGATCTAGAATACGATTATAAACAACTTCTCAGATTTATAAAATAAAAAAAAGATATACTAGAAAAAATTTATTTTAACTCACGTAAAATATATTTCTAAATAATTCTAAGCATGATTTCAAACGAGCGTCTACTCCTTGAACACCTTTTTGTTTCTTTGGTTTACGTTTTCGTGATGTTTTGAACATGGCGACCCTGAGACAACGAGAAGAAAAGTTTATGGGACGGTTCCTGATCTCATTATCCTTTCACAAAATATACAAATATTACGATGGCATGTCCTCCGAAAATTAGTACATGGGCTGTACGTTATTTTCAGAAACAACCAAATTAAACGCTGGAAAGAACATAAAACAAGAGGCAAGGGAAACCACACAGAAATAAGCAAGACGAAGGCGTGACCTCATCTTCAAAGAATAGTAGAATACGGTTACTACTAAACAATAGTTGAATTGTTAATGAGGCTCGCAGCATGCCAAACGTGATAAAAATAAAATAAACTAGCAAGCCATTTTTCTATGTTAACTCCTGAATTTTAAGCAGCAATGAACTGATATTAAATTTTTTTTTTAAGAAATATAGTTTAAAATTTCATATTTGTAATAAAAATAACGCTAATATTTTTGTTGGTGTTTTAATTTGCATTTAGCTTTGCAACGCATATTCATCTATACCGCAAAAATATTGATTTATTTACCATCTTTCGAACAAACATTGTACTTAATTTGTCAAAAAATATAATAAATTATAATTCTCAATTCATTTCATTCCTTGCATTTTATTCAAAGAACGAAGAGTCTGATTTTTTAATAAATAGAGTACTGTACATTCTTTTATCAAAAATTATACTTCAAACCTACACTCATCACATTGGGGGGGGGGGAGAGGAAGAAGATAAATGTTTGGATTATAAGACCCTGATAAATGTCTAATTTTTTTTTTCCATGTGCGGTTAGGTTGTCTCGTAGATATTGGTAGGATGGATGCTAACATTATGTAACTACACAATTTAAATTGTTGGGTCCATGTGGAAGGAGTCAAGTTAACCATATTATTTTACATTAGATTTCATAAACAAACCATATTATTTCATAAGGATGTGAAGTCTACTTACGCCGACGGTTTGGTGGGCCATTGCTTGAATGGCTCCGTAAGTAAAAGTTGCCTGTTGCCTGTACTCGTGTTAATTTAAGTTTGAGTTTGAGTCAATACATAAATTATTCATCCGATCCTAAATATAAAATTATTTTACAGTATAAATTGTACTGCAAAATAAATTTTATATTTAAGACCCGGTGAGTATATATATCGAGTCGCATTTATTTTCAAGGGCACATGGCAAATGCCAAGAGAAGCTCGATTTTACAAGCTTACTTTAAGGGCATATAAGCACGACATGATACCAACTGGTCATGTTCGGGCAACCATATATATAATTCACAAATAAAGGCCATGTAATCAATGAGGGTTCATTTTAAATTAATGACCAGTCTTCTTATTTTATTATGCCCACGGCCAAAGACTCCTCGACATCTGCCTTCACTACGAAGGGATGGAGTTTTCAACCACAAGAAAAGGCAGAATCATTAATATAAATACAGTAATGCTAGGAATAATTAATGTTATTTACCACAATCATCTCAACCCAGGCATATTCTAGTATTGTGACTGTGAGAGAGTTGTGAATTTGTGATGAAAATGTGGCGTAAAGTATAGAAAATTTCAAATCTGAACTCTGCTTAAAGGCAGTCTTATTTGCTCGTGTGTGGAATTATTAGTACTAGGAAGAGTAAAGAGAATGAGGCAGAAACTGGGGGGACACCATTAAGTGTGGGGGATATGCATGAACTGATGAGAATTGGACTGGGGTGGCGGTAGAAGGTAGCAATTAGATTTGGTGAGGGGGCGTTCTCAGTATATGAACATACAATTTTATCAAAATGAATAAATATAGGGAGAGATTTGGAAGGGAAGATTCGGTGGCTGAAACTTGGGTTTCAGGTGAGGATGGGATGGTTCACCATGTAGCAGAAGCAGAGAAGGGGGCTGAACACGAACCATTAACAAACACAAGGACGTATCTTGAGAGATGAATCCCCCAAAAAAGCCGTAGCACCAACGCTAGCTCTTTGACACTCCGCACTCTTCCTGTCACCTTCCCTTTGCCATCAAGTGCCGACATTTGATTGCTTCCTTTTATGACTTGAACACATATGCCATTCCCATTATTGCGTCTTTCTTTGATCTTACATGCCAACATTTCATCCTTTTTAACCCGCGTTACTTATATATGGAAAATGAATAATAAGAGTGAGTCAGTCATTTCATTCTGTGGAAAGTACAGTGCAGATATTTCATACTTTAATTTTCAACGAGAAGGAGGGGGAATGGGGCATGTAAGGAGTAGTAAAGAGGGAGCGTTAATAATGTACAAGGTACATGGCCCCCGTGGGATGAATTTATGAGCATGT